GCTCAGCTCCAGCTGTTGGGGCCGCCTGGGGAGTGAACCATCAGATGGAAGATCTTCCTCTCTTTCCTCCTCTCTGTATGTCTGACTTTGCAATAAAAATAAATAAACCTAAAAAAAAAAAAAAGATTTATTGCAAAGGCCAATTTATGGAGAGAAACATCTTCCATCACTGGTTCACTCCCTACATGAACCAGGTCCAGGCCTGGTGGGTGGCAGTGACATGTACCCAGGTCGCCCACCGGCCACACCCCAGGGCGTCACTGGCAGAAGACAGCTTCAGGGAGTAACTGGACCGAGTCACCTCCCACTCACATTCGAACCTGGGGGCTCAGCTCTGCCCACAGCCTGTGGTTTCCAAGGTCTGCTGGGCTGAGGCTTCCTGAAGTGGGGTCCCCTGGTGCCCCTTCTGGGGCATAGTACTCAAGGATTATGCCAAGTCATGTGAGCTTGATGCCAGCGCCAGGCTTCAGCAGGTTAACCATCACTGCAACACCAGCATCCCATGTGGGCGCTGGTTTGTATACCAGCTGTTCCACTTCCCTTCCAGCTTCCTGCTCATGGTCTGGGAAAGCAGCCCGTGGCCTGGCCCGTGGGCTTGGACCCTGCACCCGTGTGGGAGACCTGGAGGAACTTCTCTAAGACACTCATGACTAGAAAAGAATTATTGCCAGGTTGATCTATGTTCTGAAGTGCAGAGGACCGTCCCTACCCACTGGGTGCTGCCGTATGCCGCTAGCAAGGAGAGGTCCCTCCCCTGGGGTGAAGCTCATCCCACCCATCTTCCTCTGTGCCGGACCCTTCCTCATTAGGGGCCCACAGGGGCATCCCTCTCAACTGTGTAAATAGCAAAAACAAAATACAAAATATTAAAAAGGTTGCTCTTGGTCGTGGGCTGCCATTGCACTAGCACTCTGGACTCTCGGCCTCCTGGAGGCTCGCTGAGTTCCCACGGGCAGACACAGGAAAGCGGCACACACAACGGTTGACATTGCAGTGACTGGCACCCCAGTGACACTCAGCAAGCTTTGATCTAAACCCCACCAGCAACAAGGTGGAAGGGACGTTTACCGGGAGCTCAGGAGCTACTGTTAGAGTCCGGGCCAGAGCTCCCCGCCTGGACATTAGGGTGCGAGCTAGTCAACCCCCAGAAAACGACAAAGAGTCTTGCTGGTAATGCAAAAAGCAAACAGAGTTTATTGTGCCAGCATGCTGGGGTCAGATCATACTTGGGGCACACAGGCCAGCCAAGTGGATCGGACCCTGACTTAACATAAGGCTGGAGATTATATACCCCGTCTTGGCTGTAACATATATCAAAGTCAACTCAAAAGTAACGAATTTAGGTGCAAGCAGTCTGTTCCATTCTCACACATATTGTTTATGCTCCCACACTTATTATTTACAGCTCATCCCATCCTGACACCCTTGTCTTTATGGCTCCTCCAGTCTTTTATGGCTCCTCCAGTCCCTGGGGCCGGGGAACTGTGCCCCTGCCTTCCTGCACCTGGGTTCAATGGTAGATAAGTTCACAGAGAAACAAGGGAGACAGATTTATCACTAAAGTGGAGCTTTCCCACAGTGCAGGCGCCTTCTGACCTAGCGAAGTAGTGGCTTCTCACCCCAAAGGGCCTAATATCACCTAACACTAATATTCTTAACGTTTTAACATACTAACATTATACTAATACTCTAATACTACCCTCATACAAAGAACTGCCTATCCTGCTGGTCTGTCTGATTTGACCAGGGTCAGAGACACAGCAGCAGATCCCAGACGGGCAGTGCAGGAAAGGGTGGATTTTACAACCCAGTCTGCCCCCTAGAGCCAGATCGGGTGCCACTTTGTACAGTGTGGAAAAATTCTAACACTGCAGAGACAACAGCGAGCTGCACATGTGCTGAGCTGGGAGCGAACTTACTGAGCTCAGTGCATTGCAGTGGCCCCACAGGAAAACAATATTGACTAGCTCATCGTACAGGTCAAAATAGGTCAGTGCGGCCCTCAGACCTAAAGGCCAACGGGTTCTACTTCTCTGTGTAGGACACCTGGTGTCTCCCTCCCCCTGACCTGCTCCACCGGAAGTGGGAGAAAAGTACAGACAACAACGTGCAGCCTCAGCACGGCATCACAGGAGGAGGGGAGTGGTGAGGCAGGAGCTGGGGCTCCTGAGACCATGCTGGAAATCTAGCATAACAACCCAGATGACTGCAAACAAAGAGCTGTGTACCAATTGCAATAAGTAAAATCTAACTGTAGGCCTGTGGGTGACAGAGCTTAGAAACCTGCCCCAAGGAGAAGAATCTGCTAACCAGAAGTACAATGATCAAGAGCAAAAGAAGAGACAGTGGCACAATGAATATTACTGAAGACTCCCCTGCAAAGGAGCACAAGCCTTTGCCAACCCCAGAGTTCACTGAGGAAGACATCAAGAAAATGGGGGACACAGAATTCAAAACCCTTGTTATAAAGCTTCTTATCAACAACGAGAAGTACATAAAGCAGGAGTTCAAGGAATTCAAGGAATCTGTCACACAGCAAATAACAGCAGTGAATCCAATGAAAGCTGATGTGTCAGAAATTAAGAATACGGTGAGGCAAACTAAAAGTCCAGTGGAGAGTCTCCAACACAGAATGAAGGAGGCAGAAGAAAGAATCTCAGAATTGGAACATATTTCCTGTCACCAGGGGGAAACAAACAAAAAACTAGAAGCAGGGCTGGGGCAAGCTAAAAAATGTATTCAAGGAATTGAAAGAGACTATTAAAAGGCCAAATATAAGAGTTATGGGAGTCCCAGAAGGTGCAGAAAGATAAGCTGGGATTAGAGGTGTATTCAATCAAATAATAAGGGAAAATTTCCCTATCTAGAGAAATAATTGGGAAACAACATCCAGGAGGGGCACAGAACTCCCAACAGGCTTGACCAAAAGCAATCTTCACCATGACACATGATGATCAAGCTCTCTTTAATCAAACATAAGGAAAAGATCCTTAAATGTGCTCATGAAAAAAAAATCAACTGACATATAAAGGAATGCCAATTAACCTCACAGGAGACCTCTCGTAGGAAACTCTACAGGCCAGGAGAGAATGGAGTGACATTTTCCAGATGCTAAAAGCAAAAAATTGTCAACCCAGGATAACATACCCAGCAAAGCTTTCCTTCATCTTTGAAAATGAAATAAAATTCTTGGGCCCGGCGTGGTGGCGCAAGTGGTTAAAGGTCCTCGCCTTGCACGCCCGGGATCCCATATGGGCGCCGGTTCTAATCCCGGCAGCCCCGCTTCCCTTCCAGCTCCCTGCCTGTGGCCCGGGAAAGCAGTCGAGGACGGCCAAAAGCTTTGGGACTCTGCACCCGCGTGGGAGACCCGGAAGAGGCTCCTGGCTTCGGATCGGCATAGTATCGGCCCGTTGCGCTCACTTGGGGAGTGAATCATCGGATGGAAGATCTTCCTCTCTGTCTCTCCTCTCTCTGTATATCCGCCTTTCCAATGAAAAAATAATAAAAATAAATCTTTAAAAAAAAAGAAATAAAATTCTTGCACATTAAAGTTACAATATGCCTCTTCCAAACCTGCCCTACAAATGATACTCCAAGACGTTCTCTTGACGGAGAAAAGGAATAGCACCCACCAAAACCAAAGGCAAATGCGAAGGACATCCCAGTGAAATGACAACAGAAGACTAAACCAATGAACAAACCATTCCTACAACGACAGGACCAAATTACTATTCATTCATATTAACCCTGACTGTAAATGGCTTAAACTCACGAATTAAATGTCATAGATTATTGAGCTAGATTTAAAAAAAAAATACTAAAACCCATCTATCTGTTACCTATAGAAGACACATCTCACCAACAAAGACCAGCGGAAACTGTATTTCATGGATTTTGATTTTTTTTAAGTTTCATCTCTTCAAATAGATCATATAGTAGCATCATTTTCTTCAAGAAGGTTCTTGACTTTCTTTTTCAATTCTTCAGGGACACATTAGTCATTGAGTAACATATAATTTAACTTCATGGTGTTGTTAATTTCTTTTTTCTTCCTGTTGTTGGTTTTGTTTTGTGGCTTTTCATTTAAGGGGATGTATAGTAACTGTGTCATGGAGACTATCCTATCCAGATGTGAGGGTGTAATGCAGTATGCATCTCCACTTCCAGACCAAGATGGACTCCCGATGAAACTGTTTACTGTATATTGACAATAGGATGCTGAACTCTGCCACTGTCCATGCCCGCAGTGATGGACATATGACTGTGCATGAAGAACTACAATATAGTAATATGGGGGAACTTGGTGAGGGGTGAGGGAACTGGGGAGGGGGTGTGGGAAATCTCACGGCCTACGGAACTGTATTATAAATTGATAATAACAATAATGAAAGCTATGAGATAAGAATAAATCTAAAAAAAAGTTACAAAGGTTATTTATTTCTACTGGAAAGCCAGGTATGCACGTCCCATCTGCTGGCTCAGTTCCCCAAGGACCCAAGGCTTCGGGCCGTCTCTGCTCGCCCAATGGAGCAGCCGGGACACGAACCCGTGTCCCCGAGGGCTGCGGGCCCGGCGGTGCTCGGCTCAGCGCCCGGACGCCATGACGGCGGGGAGGGCCCCGCGGACCGGGAGGGACCCGGGAAGGACGCGCGGACCGCCCGGCCGCCCCAGGCCCGGCCGCCAGGCCCCACCGAGCACAACATGGACGCCGCGGCCTCCGCCCGCCTCCCCGGCCGCGGGGCACCCTGGGACCTGCAGTCCGCGGCGCGTGGCATGCCGGAAGCTGTAGGCGCCGCGCGGCACGCCGGGAGCGCGGGGCACGCCGCAGGCCCGGCCGGACACCCGCGCGCGCCGACCCCGCCGGACCGAGGGCCGGTGTCCTCCTCGGCGCTCCGGGAAGGGCCGGGGCCCCGCCGTCCGTCCGCCCCGGCCCCGGCCCACCCCGAGGGCGCCGCCGCCGTCGTCACCGGCTGAGCGGGGGACGTCACTCGGCGGCGCCGCGCGCGGTGGCTGCTGGGACCGCGCTTTACTCCCGCCCCCCGCGGCGGCGTCTTCCTTTCCGCCGCAGACGGCGCCGAGGACGCACGAGGGCCGGGGGGACGGAGCAGGGAAGCCGCCGAGTGAGCCGGGGGCCGGGGGACGGGGAGAGACCGGGGGACGGGGAGAGACCGGGGGACGGGGAGACGGGACGGGGCGGGAGGCCGAGGACGCACGAGGCCCGGGAGGACGGAGCAGCGAGGCCGCCGAGTGAGCCGGGGGCCGGGGGAGAGACCGGGGGACGGGGAGAGACCGGGGGACGGGGAGGGAGACCGGGGGACGGGGAGAGACCGGGGGACGGGGAGGGAGACCGGGAGACGGTGGGAACAGGAGGGACCGGAGAGAAGGAGCAGGGGGCGGGCGCACGGCGCCGAGCACCCCCGCCACCCGGAGTGAGGGCGGCGGACACCGGCCACGTGCTGGCCTTCCCGGGCACCGGGCCCCGGCGGGAGGAGGGGAGGCCGTCCTGGTGCCCTGCACCAACGGCCTTCCCCCCGCAGCATGCGCTACGTCGCCTCCTATCTGCTGGCCGCCCTTGGGGGCAACGCGTCGCCCAGCGCCAAGGACATCAGGAAGATCCTGGACAGTGTGGGCATCGAAGCGGACGACGAGAGGCTCAACAAGGTGCGGGGAGGGCGAGGGAGGTTCGGGGCTGCTGACCACCCCACGGTCCACAAGGGACAGGGATGGGAGAGGGCTGGGGCTGACCACCTCATGGGTCCACAAGGGCAGGGACGGTGAGGGCCGGCGCTGCTGACCACCCCACATGTCCACAGGTCATCAGTGAACTCAATGGCAAGAACATTGAGGATGTGATCGCCCAGGGTGAGTGCTGGGGGTGACCACGCCACGTCCGCCCTAATCCCTGTGGCCAGTGTGGCCTGCAGGCTTCGCTGGTGGACCAGAGCATGTGGGCCACTCCCGCAGCCGTGGGTACTGGGTGGTGTGCTCACGGGGCGGCTGCATGGCCACAGGCCTGGCCGGGTTACTGGAAGTCCCCTGCCCGGCCCTGGGATGAGGGGAAGGAGGGTCCCAGTGACCATGGTCCTCTGGCCCGTGGGCCTCTAGCAGGGTGTTGGTCACAGAGTCCTGTCCCTCTTGCCAGTGACTGGAGCCTAGGCCACCCCCACTAGGTTCCCTGGTCCCAGGCATCAGTGGACACACATGTGGGCATGCGTGTGCAGCCCAGCTCACCCGGTCTTCCCGCAGGCATTGGCAAGCTGGCCAGTGTGCCCGCTGGAGGGGCTGTGGCCGTGTCTGCTGCCCCGGGATCCGCGGCCCCCGCTGCTGGTGCAGCCCCTGCAGCAGGTGAGTGGGGGTTGCCAGTGAGCGCGTGTGGGCTGTCCCCCCAACACAGCATGGAAGACACCCCGTTCACACCTGTCTCCCCAACACAGCGGAAGAGAAGAAGGAGGAGAAGAAGGAAGAGTCGGAGGAGTCGGACGACGACATGGGGTTCGGCCTGTTTGACTAGATCCTGTGTCCCCAATAAAGTTTTCTGTTACTTTCCAGTCTGAGCTTCTTGTTCGGGTGGGGTGGTGTTCATCAGGGACCCCAGCATCATCAGGGTCCAGCCTGGGTGTTCCTACATCACAGGAGTGGGGTGTTGGGGTATCTACCAGGCTCTGCCTGAGGCTGAAGGGCTGGGGTGACAGGTGGATGGGTATTGGGGGTCCCTGGCTGTCACACTCTGGAATTGGGGCCTTGCCCACAATTCATGCGAGCCAGCCAGGTCCCTGGGCAGTGGGGTGACATGTGGCCAGCAGCCGGGTTCCTGGAATCTCCCAACATGTTCCTGGTCAGGAGCCTCCTGGGGAACGGGTCTGTGTCCTCGGAACCAGGACAGAGGTCTCAGAACAGATGGGGAGGCCCTGCCCTGCTGGAGTCCCAAAATCCAACCTGGGGCCTTGGTTCCCGACCACCACACTGTGCAAGGCCTTCCCTGCTCACCCTGCGGTGTCTCCAGCCCCGGACCAGGGGTGGGTCCTACCGTCTCTTGTCCCAGCTGTGCATCTCCACCCCAAACGGAGGGTCCTCTCTGCCAGCCCGGTGGCCACAACTCCATCCCCCCCAAAAGTGCAAAGACCAGAGTGCCCATTTGTGAGATTGGCCAGGACCTGGGTGGGACTGGGGACCCCTGGCCGGGACGCGTGATGTCAGCGGGCGCCTCTGCTTCCGGGGCAGCGCTGGGGGAGGAAGGGGAGGAGGAGGAGGCCGTGCGCTGGACACCAGGCCCGCCCCTCGCGGGTCGGGGACCCCGGCTGACCCCCTCGGGCTTGGCCCGGTCCCCCGCCGCCGTGCGCCTCTCGGAGCCCCTCGGGGCGCGGGTGCCCGTCGGGGCGCGGGCTCGTGGGCGCGGCCGTTCCCCGCGCGCCCCCATTGGCCGTGCGCGCCGGCCCCGCCCCCGCCGCGGCCCCAAAGCGCCGCCCGCGCCGGCCTGGGCAGCGTCTCGGCTCCGCGGCCGACACCGGAGTCCAGGGCCGCCCGCCGCGATGTTCCCGCGGGAGAGCAAGTGGAACATCTCGTTCGCGGGCTGCGGGTTCCTGGGTGTCTACCACATCGGCGTGGCCTCCTGCCTCCGCGAGCACGCACCCTTCCTGGTGGCCAACGCCACGCACATCTACGGCGCCTCGGCCGGCGCGCTCACGGCCACCGCGCTGGTCACCGGCGCCTGCCTGGGTGAGCGGGGGTCCCGCCAGGGGCGCAGGCCCCTGGCGGCTCCTGGTTTGTTTTGCTCCTGGGAGGGCCCGGGCAGGTGCAGCCAGAGCTGCTTCATCGGAAAGAGAAAGAAGTTGGTGGGCGGAGCCCGATGCCGGAGGAGGAATGCAGGGTCCCCGCCCCTGGGCCAACAAGTGGCCGAGCCCCGGTGTGGGGCGGCCCCGCTGCGGCTCGGGGCCCTTGGTGGAGGGGTCAGCGGGGCGGGTGGACGTTGCTGGTACTCCTGTCTGCCTCCAGACCTGGGTGCTGGACTCCTGGGTGTGCGGGTGGGACCTCTGGACTCTGGAGCCCCACGGTCAGCGATGCCCTAGTGGCCTGTCCACACACACACACTTCCGGCTGCCACATAGGGACCGTGTTTACAGCCCCAGGCCACCTCTGGGAGTGCCAGCAGGCACGTGTCCAGCAGCAGGCCTGGGTCCCCTGGTGACCTCTGGAGTCCTGCCACCCGGTCTGCCCCTGCCCACAGCATCTCCCAAAGTGGCCCCAGGCAGGTCCTCAGCTCCGCCAAGCCACCCGAAGGGGCCCGATGGCCTGAACTGACAGGACTTTGAGGCCTGGCCCCACTCTGGGCCCCGCCAAGTGGGTGACAGCGAGGCGGTCAGAGTTGAGCTTCTGCTGTGTCCCCAGTCCTGGGCTGATGCCACACCATACTCGTGACTCATGGTGACAGGCAGTTGGGAAATAGCTGGCAGAGGGCAGGTCCTTGTTTCTGCTGGCCAGTCGGCCCAGGCTCCCTGGGCCCTGCAACCCCTCCGAGGTCACTGAGGACACTGCCTTGAGGCTGTGCTGGGCAGCTTGGGCGTGTAGCCCCCAGGGGTCGCCTGACCCCCTGATCCTGTGGCCTTGCCCCTCCAGGTGAGGCAGGTGCCAACATCATCGAAGTGTCCAAGGAGGCACGGAAGCGGTTCCTGGGGCCCCTGCACCCTTCCTTCAACCTGGTGAAGACCATCCGAGGCTGCCTGCTCAAGACCCTGCCGGCCGACTGCCACGAGCGGGCCAGCGGCCGCCTGGGCATCTCGCTGACCCGCGTCTCCGATGGCCAGAATGTCATCTTGTCCCACTTCAGCTCCAAGGAGGAGCTGATCCAGGTGGGTGCCCGCGGTGAGGCCTCGTGGGGGGCGTGGGGAGCCCCAGGCCGGCTCACCAGCCCCTCCCGCCCCCAGGCCAACGTGTGTAGCACTTTCATCCCTGTGTACTGCGGCCTCATCCCGCCGGCCCTGCAGGGCGTGGTGAGTGGCCTGCACCCCTGGGACCAGGAGGAACTGCTCCCCGCCTGCCCCTGCCCTCTGCCTCACTCCCGGGTTGCTCAAGGGGCCCCGGGGCCGTGCTTCCTGTGGCGGGTGCCCACTGGGGGAGAGGCCCCAGCGCAGCAGCCCGGGGCCGGCCGTGACAGTGCTGTCTGTCGCTGTCCAGCGTTACGTGGACGGCGGCATCTCGGACAACCTGCCCCTCTACGAGCTAAAGCACACCATCACCGTGTCCCCCTTCTCGGGCGAGAGCGACATCTGCCCACAGGACAGCTCTACCAACATCCACGAGCTCAGGGTCACCAACACCAGCATCCAGTTCAACCTACGCAACCTCTACCGCCTGTCCAAGGCGCTTTTCCCGCCGGAGCCCCTGGTGAGTGCGCGCGGGATGCGGGCAGGGGGCCACTTGCACTGGCCGCGCTGGGAACAGGCTAGGCCCGGACAGGCTGCTGGGTGGCGGCGAGGGGCAGAGCTGATGCCCAGAGTCCTCAGGGTCCACTTCCCGGCTTCAGGTGCTACGGGAGATGTGCAAGCAGGGTTACCGGGATGGCCTGCGCTTCCTGCGGCGGAATGGTGCGTGAGGGGCCATGGGTGGGAGGAGTGCGCGCCCTCGGGGCCAGCTCAGGAAGGTGTTTGGGGGCCGTGGGTGGGAGGAGTGTGGGATCTTGGGTGGGAGGAGTGCGCGCCCTGGGGGGCAGCCATGTCGGGGAGGTGCCGTGGGGTGGGTGGGAGGAGTGCGCGCCCTCGGGGCCAGCTCAGGAAGGTGTTTGGGGGCCGTGGGTGGGAGGAGTGCGGGACCGTGGGTGGGAAGGAGTGGCGCCCGCAGGGCCGGGTCGGGGAGGAGTGTGCGGGGCCGTAGGGAGGCCATGGCCTGCTGCCCCTCTGCTGGCCACCGACGGCTGCATCATGGGCTGCTCTGTCATCCAAGCCCTAACCCTAACTCTGGTCTCTGCCACCCCCCAGGCCTCCTGAACCGGCCCAACCCCTTGCTGGCGCTGCCCCCGGCACAGCCCGAAGCCCCGGAGGACACCCAGGAGGCGGAGGCTGCAGAGGACTCGGCCCACATGGGGGACCCGTCGCTGCCATCGGGGGCGGACCTCATCTTGGAGCATCTTCCGGCTCGGCTCAACGAGGGTGGGTGTGTGCGGAGGAGGCGCCTGGCTGGGCGGCCGGCTCTGTTCCTCCGACCCACGCCTTCTCCTCTCTCCCTACTCCCACAGCCCTGCTGGAGGCCTGCGTGGAGCCCAGTGACCTGATGGCCACGCTGTCCAACATGCTGCCTGTGCGCCTGGCCACCGCCATGATGGTGCCGTACACACTGCCTCTGGAGAGCGCCGTCTCCTTTACAATCCGGTACGCATCCCAGGAGGGGTTTCGGGGTGGTGAGGGGCGTCACCCGCACGCGGGGGTGGCCGGTGAGCCTGTCCGCGCTGCTTCCCCAGCCTGCTGGAGTGGCTGCCCGACGTCCCCGAGGACATCCGGTGGATGAAGGAGCAGACCGGCAGCCTTTGCCAGTATCTGATGATGCGCGCCAAGCGAAAGCTGGGCAGCCACCTGCCCGCCGGGTGAGCCGCCCTGCCTGCCCGCCCTGCCCGGCGGCCAGGGAGCACCCGCTGACGCCCACCCTCGCCCCCGCAGGTCGACGGAGCAGACGGAGCAGACGGAGCTGCGCCGCGCTCGGTCCCTGCCCTCCGTGCCGCTGGCCTGCTCCTACAGCCACGCGCTGCCACGCTGGATGCGCGCGAACCTTTCCCTGGGGGACGCGCTGGCCAAGTGGGAGGAGTGCCAGCGGCAGCTGCTGCTCGGCCTCTTCTGCACCAACGTGGCCTTCCCGCCCGACGCGCTGCGCATGCGTGACCCCGTGGACGCCGCGGACCCCGCGGACCCCGCGCCTTCCCAGAGCCCTGCCGAGCCGCCCGCTCGCTGAGTGCCCCAGCTCCCCGTGGTGGGCCCTGGTGGGAGTGCTGGCTGGCGAGGGCTTACCGCCAGAACGAGCGACTTTGCTGTGAACCCCAAGCCCACGGCCCCTCCCCGGGCGCACAAGTGGGGCGGGGGTAGAGTGTCCTCCCTTGCAGGGGCACCCCGGGGCCCTGCCTTCTGGGAACTAGGCACCTGCCTCACGCCCTGCTGGGTGTTCGCATTGCAGAACTGTGTGCAGAAGTATTTATTTTCAGCAGAGCAGATGTAATAAAGGCCACAGCCCAGCTTCAGGCTGCTTCCCTGCCACACAGCTCCCAGGCGCCTGGGGCCTGCAGCTGAGGGGGGAGTCTGTCCTGTGGGCCAGGCGCTGTGGCCACCTGCCCGGCACTCTGCCCTGAGGCCTCCTGGCTGACCTGAGCTGCGGTGGGACCAAGATCCTTGCTGAATAACAGCCAGGGTGTTTACAAAAGGTGGTGTTGTGTGACGCAGCAGGGACATGCAGTCCACTCCGGGCTGGCCAGCTGTGGGCACAGGGCCTGGGCCGCGTGGGATCAGGCTCCAGATCCACCCTGAGGCCAGTCCTGCAGCTCCAGCCCGGCCTGAGCAACCTCAGTGTCACCCCCACGACCCCTTGCCATTACCTCCATAGCTCCCTTGCTCTCAGGCCCATAGCTGCCTCAGTGTCACCCCATGGCCCCTCACCGTCACCCCCACGAGCCCCCTCACTGTCACCCCATGGGTCCCCTCACCGTCACCCCCACGAGCCCCCTCACTGTTACCCCATGGCCCCTCACTGTGTACCCCAACGGCCCCTTGCTGTCATCTCCCTGGCTCGTCACTGTGTCTCCCCATGGCCCTTTACCATGTCCCCAATGCTGCCACCCCATGGGCCCCTTGCCGTCACCCCCGTGGTCCCTCATCCTGTCCCCCATGGCTCCTTGCTGTCACCCCCATGGCCCCTCCGTCACCCCCATGGCCCCCTTGCCATCACCCCCACAGCCCCTCATGTCCCCCATGGCTCCTTGCTGTCACCCCCATGGCCCCTCACCATCACTCCCACAGGACTCCTTGCCATTGCCCCACAGCCCCCTCAATGTGTCCCCTAATGGCCCCTTGCCATCCCATCATCACTGTAACCTCCGTGGCTTGTCACTGTGTCTTTCCATGGCCCCTCATTGTGTCTTCAATGCTGCCACCCCCATGGGCCCCTTGCCATCACCCCCATGGGCCCCTCCGTCACCCCCATGGCCCCCTTGCCATCACCCCCATGGCCCCTCTCTGTGTCTCCCCATGGCCCTCTTGCCATCGCCCCCACAGCCCCTCATGTCCCCCATGGCTCCTTGCTGTCACCCCCACGGCCCCTCATCGTGTCCCCCATGGTCCCCTCACTGTCACCCCGGTGGCGCCTCACTGTGTCTCCCCATGGCCCTTTGCCGTCACCTACATGAGCCCTGCGCTGTCGCCCCTGTGGCCCCTCACCGTGTCCCCTAACAGCCTCTCGCCTTACCTTGCACACTCAGCTCGTTCCTTCCACCCTGTGGGTCTCCAGGGGTCTGGGAAGTTGAGGCCGGTGGAAAGAAGCAGTGTTCTAGGAGTGGCAGCCCTTGGGCTCAGGGCACCAGGACTCCCACCGGGCACAGCCTACCTGCCCTGCCCCTCCCAGGTGGGGATGCCCCCAGCCAACAATAACGGTCGGGTCTGGGGCCCTCGGGCCACCAGACTGGGCGAGCCGGCCGGGCAGGTCCCTGTGTCGCTGCCAGGGGCCACCCCCTCGTACGTCAAGGTCGTCCTCTGGGCTCGGCGGCAGACTGTCCAGGCAGAGGAGCGGCCTGGAGCCCCATCACTGTGGGAGTGTGGGAGAAGTGCCTTCCAGGTGGGTGAGGTGGGGCTGCCTGGCACGGCCCTCCTCAGGGGGAACCCTAGGCAGGGCTGTGTCCCAGCAGGAGTGGGGTCCTGAGGAGGGACACCCCCCGACCTGGGCAACGCACGGCTTGTCCGCAGTGCTGGACATGCAGTGTCGGCATGTGACCTGCGCGGTGGGAAAGTTGGGAGGGCTCCCAGCCCGGAGATAACCGGCAAACAGCCGGTTTCCTGCCGGCAGATCCCACACGCATACTTGGGGAGTCTCACGCCAGAAACCCGGGACGGCCCTTGTTCGCTCCGCCGCCCGCTGGGTCTGCAGCCAGGAGGGCCTGGACCCTGCTGAGGGGGGTGTCGCCAGGTCTTCCCCGCGGCTCGCTCCACTTCTGCCCATACGGACTCTCGCGCCCTTCGGGGATCGGGCCGCCCCGGGGAGCGCCAGGAGGCGGGGACCTGGCGACAGCGGAGTGGCGGCTCCGCCAAGGACCGGGCCCCGCGGGGGTCTCGGTGCCTGAGGGGCAGTAGGGGCCGTTGGGGGTCCCCCGCGCCCCCGGGACGCAGTCGGGGTCCGAGCAGGGGCGGGGCGCACCGCGTTTCCGGGAGGAGCGGCTCTGGCGCGCGCGGCAGGTGCGGCGGCGCGGTTCCAGGTAAGCGCTCGCAGGTCCGGCCACCCGGGTGTCCGCCGCGCCCGCCCGGACCCCCCGACCGCTCGCACCCCCACCTGCCCGGCGTGGAGGCGTCTCCACCGCTTCAGCGGCGAACTTCAGGCGCCCCCGGGGCGAATGGGCAGGGGCCAGCGCAGCCCCGGCGGAGCGGGGATCGAGGGCGGTTCGCGGCCCCACCCGGCCGGCCCGTCCTCCCAGCTCGCCGGGCACGGCAGCGGGCAGCTTCCGGCTGAGACGGACTAGGGTCGGCGGAGCCCGGGAGGCGCCGGCCGGTGGCCCCCTGTCCAGGCTGAGGGGAGGGCGCACGCCGGGAATCGGCCCTGCGGCTCTCAGACCTTGCGTCTCTAGCGCTCACCCCCTCCTTGGGGAGTGCGGGTTTGGGGTCACCGCGTCTGGAGGTCAGAAGGTGTGTGCACAGGTGGCTCTGGGGGTGGAGCTCTGGTAAACCAGCACAGAAAAGGGGCGGTCCTGAGGAAGGGAACTGAAGCCCCCAGTTTTGGGGCTTTTCTGGCAGGCTCTGGTGGCACTCGGGATCCTGCATTTATGCTGGGGGGGGTTCAGGTGGGAGGGGCCAGAAGGCAGGGAGGGAGCTGGAGGCGCTGCCTGCCAGCTGTCAGGGGCCAGGACTGGAATAGCAGCCAAAGACCGGGCCAGGAAGGGCTCAGACACCTGGGGACCTGGATTCAAAGCCGGGGGGTGGGAGCACCCCCAACTCTAGGCCTTGCAGACTCTGCTGCCGCCACCTCCCTGCACCTGCCTATACGCTAACCTAATCCTAACACTCCCCTCACTTCTGATCTGCCCTCCTTGCCAGCCCGGCCTCCCAGGGCCGTCAGCCACCATGGCCAGCCCTGAAGAGCCCCAGGAGGAGGGCGAGCAGGAGGGGGCAGCCTCCATGCTCCAGCAGGCTCAGGAGCTCTTCCTGCTCTGTGACAAGGAGGCCAAGGGCTTCATCACCCGGCATGACCTGCAGGTGAGCCAGGCTGCCCGGGCCCAGGCTGCCCGGGCTCAGGAAGCCCCGGGCCCAGGCCGCTCAGCCCTGCCCGCTGCCCCTACCATGCAGGGCCTGCAGAGCGACTTGCCCCTGTCCCCAGAGCAGCTGGAGGCCGTATTTGAGAGCCTGGACCAGGCCCACACCGGCTTCCTCACAGCCCACGAGTTCTGCCTCGGCCTGGGTGAGCCGCAGCCCTGCCCACTCCCCCTGCCCTGGCACCCATGGCTGTGCAGGGTACAGAGCCAGCTCCTCGGCCCCCCAACCCTTCCTGGCCCAGCCCAGGTCGAGCTGGGAGCCAGGCTGTGGCCCTTGCATTCCCAGGCCAGCAGGACCAGAACAAGGAAGCCAAACAGGAAACTTGGCGGAGAGGGCAGGATACTGCTGGTGGCGGGCGGGTGAGGGGACAGCGGGGTGGTGACCGCAGCACCCGCATCACGCTGCCCTCTCATGCCCTCAGGGAAGTTTGTGGGTGCAGAGCCCACACAGGGATCGTCCTCGCACGCTCGGGAGGAGACCTACGAGGCTGGCTGGTCTGTGCGGGGCTGCCTGGAGGAGGAGGAAGGCGAGGAGGAGCAGATCTCAACTCTGCTGGAGCAGCTGGGGGTGGCGCCGGTCCTGGGCGGGTGAGCTGCTCCCCGCTGCGGTGCCTGCCGGCCACCCGCCTGTCTGCCCCCTCACCAGGTCCACAGGCCTGGTTAGGCCCAGGCGTTCCCACAGCTGGGAGGCGCCGGCGTGATTTCCCGCAGAATTTGCATTTCAGGAGGCGGCAGCTGGGACTACAGGGAGGACGGGTGGCGCGGGCACAGCCCAGGGTCCGCCCAAAGCGCCCACGGGCGGGAAGGTGGGCCAGCGGGCCTCAGCACCCTCCCTTCCCTAGGCAGGGGGCCGTGCGGGCGCTCTGGGCGCGGCTGCAGCGGGAGCGGCCCGAGCTGCTGGGCTCTTTCGAGGACGTGCTGATGCGCGCCACTGCCTGCCTGGAAGAGGCGGCCCGGGAGCGCGACGGCCTGGAGCAGACACTGCGGCGGTGAGCGCCGGGCTTGCTGGGCGGAGGGCTCCGGCAGGCTGGGGGCTGCAGGTTCTCACCGCTGTCGCACCCCAAGGCGGGAGAGAGAGCACGAGAGGGAGGTGCGTGGGCTGTACGAGGAGCTGGAACAGCAGGTGCGCCAGCAGCGCCAGCGCCTGCGCACTCAGGTGAGCGCCCGGCCCAGCCCCGGGGCCTCCGCGCGGCCCGCTGCCCCCGGCCCGCACGGCTCAGGCGCCCGCTGCCTTCCAGAACCTGCCGCGGGAGGAGCGGAGGGGCCGCCTGGAGGCGGAGCTGCAGAGCTGCGAGCAGGAGCTGGAGCGCGCGGGGCTGCGGCAGCGGGAGGTGAGCGGCCGCTTCCTGCGCACCCGTCCCCCGAGGCGCGGGGCCGCGCGGGGGAGCCCACCTTGCCAGCCTGCTTCTCCGACACCCCCAGCTGGAGCAGCAGCTGCAGGCCCGGGCCGCGGAGCAGCTGGAGGCGCAGGCCCAGAACGCGCAGCTGTGGCGGGCGCACGAGGCGCTGCGGGCGCAGCTCGAGGGCACCCAGGAGCAGCTCCGCAGATTGGAGGGCGACGCGCGCGGTCGCCAGGAGCGGACCCAGCGGTGCGACCCCGAGGACGGGGCGGGGGCGGCTCCCCGGGCGGCGGGCGCGGGCTCAGGTGCGGGCCACGTCGGTCTCAGCCTGCGCCCGCAGGGTCCGAGGTGCGTGGGGGGTCCACCTGCATGCCGGCCACGCCTCCCGCCCGCAGGGAGGTGGTCGCGGTGTCCAGGAACATGCAGAAGGAGAAAGTGAGCCTGCTGCGGCAGCTGGAGCTGCTCAGGTGAGGGGCGCTCCGCTGGCGGAGGGGCGCCGCCGCCCGCGCCCCAGACCCCTCCTCAGCCCCTGGCCCTCTCCCTGCAGGGAGCTGAACACGCGGCTCCGCGACCAGAGGGACGCCAGTGAGGCCCGGCGGCTGGGCGGCGGCCGCAGGAAGACCCTGGCCCCGGCGCGCCCTCCGGGGCCCACGTGCGGCTGCTGGGCTCGGCCCCCGAGGCGCGGCTCCGGCCACCTTTCCGTGGCGCGGTGACTGGCAAGGCCCGGTACGGCTCCCGCCACGGGCATTCCCGGACCCGCCGCGCGTCCGACAGGCCGAGAAGGAGCCACACGGGGCCTGGGGATGCGCAGGGGGTCCCAATGCTGCCGACCCCATCGCTGCCAAATAAATTCCAACGACCGCTCTGTCTCGCCCGTGGGATCTGTGCGGGGCCGCGTCCACCAGCGCACGGTGTCCATGCGACCCTGGTCCCTCCTGTGGTACCAGCCAGCAGCCCACATTCAGGGCGTTTCCTGCCTTCTTCCCACGCAGCCCTGGCCTGTCCACCCCGCGCTCAGTCTCTGCCCCTTCCCCCGAGGGCTGGCCGTCAAGTCCCCTTCCCACATTCTTTGGGGTCTCCCGGTACGCCTCGGTCCAGCGGACCCCCTAAGCGTGCGGCGCGTTATTGGGGCGCACGAGAGAAGCGGTCGCTCGCGAGGGAGCCCGGCCCTTCCGGGGCCTCGCGGGGGCTGCAGGCCCGCGTGGACGTGCACAGGCCGCCCCCCGCGCGCCGCGGAGCTGGTTCAGACCGGCCCGGCGTCCGCAGGCCGGAGGCGGGGCCCGGGGCCAGGGGGCGGGCCGGGCGCCGGGGCGGGCCGGGGCTGGCGTCGGGGCGGGGCGTCCGGCCGCGGCCCCCGGCGCGCATTCCCGGCTGCAGCCGCCGCCCCCGCAGTCGCCGCCGCCCGGGCCCGCTCCGACGCGTGCTTGGTGAGTGCGCGGCCCGACCGGGGCCACCGCGGGGCCGGCTTGCCCGTGCGCGGACCGTGCGCCCGGAGGCCACGCCCGCCCCGCGCCGCCGCTTCCCTGGAGACGCCGGCGCCCCCGGCCGGGGGTGGGAAGGCGCCTCCCGGGCCCTCCCGGACCCTGGGGCGGGAGGGAGAGGCCGCGGCGCGCCGAGCCCCGAGCCCGGTGCCCGCCTCCCCCCTGCCGGGTGCACAGGCTCGGGCCCCAGCCGCGGCGGTGACCTCATCGCGGACCGCTGGGCGTCCTGGGATGGAGGGGTGTTCCGGGCGGCAGCCTGGAGCCGGCCGCGGTAGCTATTTCTGGCCGTCGCGGCTGCCCCGCGCCCTTTCCCCGGGGGCTGCCGGCCTCCGGCGTTCCTGGAAGGGGGCCGCCCCTCCGGGCCGTGGGGGCGGCATCCGGGCCACGCCTGCGCGCCCCCCCCCCCCCCCGCTCCGTGGTGGGCTTGGGGGCGTCCTGCCGCGGGGGCCACGGACAGGTTCTCGTGGAGGCCGAGGAGGGCTCTTGGGAAAGATCCCTCCTAGGACCGCGCTGTCCACTCTGATGCCCCACCCAGTGCAGGCGAACATACCAGGCCTGGCCACTCCTGGCTCTGCCTCCAGCCGACCCTGCCTGCTCGGAACTCGGCCCTGGCCCCCAGCCCTGGCGGCTTGCAGGCGGGACCCCGGTGGGCCGGCAAGAGCCAGACAAGAGCCAGACGTGTGACCTGTTACCTGTCTTCCCAGCTCCGCCCTCGGCAGCTTCCGTCTACCTGTCCCCTGGAGACGTTGCCGGCTGGTGAGTGCTGGGCGGGGCGGCCCGGCGAGGCTGGTAAAGTCCAGCCCGTGGTGCCTGGCTGCAGCCGTGGCCCCAGGCGCTGCATTTCTGTGCTAGGCTGCACTGGGGCTGAAGGCGAGTGGTGGTGTTTCCCCCTGTCTCGGCATACCTGTCCAGACCCCCAGCTGGAGAGGGGCAGGGCCTGTCCTGCCTGGGGTCCAGCCTGGTCGTAGTGGGCACGCCTCAGTCCTGGGATGGCAGTCCTAGGGCACAGAGGCACAGGAGTCCAGCCTGGCCGTGGTGGGGGCACCTGAGTCCTGGGATGGCAGCCCTAGGGCACAGGGGCACAGGAGTCCAGCCTGGCCGTGGTGGGGGCACCTGAGTCCTGCGATGGCAGCCCTAGGGCACATGGGCACAGGAGTCTGGCCTGGCCGTGGTGGGCACGCCCGAGTCCTGGGATGCAGCCCCAGGGCCTCCAGGGGGCACAGGAGTCCAGCCTGGCCATGGTGGGCACGCCTGAGTCCTGGGATAGCAGCCCTGGGCACAGGAGTCTGGCCTGGCCATGGTGGGCACGCCCGAGTCCTGGGATGGCAGCCCCAGGGCCTCCAGGGCACAGGGCTATGGCCTGGAATTGGATCCCTGAAGAATGACTCAGATCCCGTCTCCTTGAATTGTGGGTGACCTGGCCCTTGCCCCTTCAGGCCCTGGTGGCCCTCCATCCCTCAGGCTGACCTGTTCCTCTTGCAGCTCCAGGATGGGCGAGTTCAACGAGAAGAAAGCCACATATGGCACTGTCTGCCTTAAGTATCTGCTGTTTTGCTACAACTGCTGCTTCTGGGTGAGTAGGCCGGCCCCGGCCCTGGCCCCGGCCCCGGGCCCCCACTCTGGGCTCTGACACCCTGCGCGTTGTCCGCAGCTGGCCGGCCTGGCCGTCATGGCAGTGGGTGTCTGGACCCTGGCCCTCAAGAGTGACTACATCAGCCTGCTGGCCTCTGGCACCTACCAGGCCACAGCCTACATCCTGGTGGTGGCCGGAGTCGTCGTCATGGTTACCGGCGTGCTGGGCTGCTGCGCCACCTTCAAGGAGCGGCGGAACCTGCTGCGGCTGGTGAGTGGGCCCCGTGCGCCCCCTCTGGGCCCGGCCCCCCCCCGTGGGCCCCACGCACCCCCTGTGGGCCCTGCGATCCCCCTGGGCCCTGTGCCCCCTGTGGGCCCCACACGCGACCTCACCCCATACTCCTGTCTCTAGTACTTCATCCTGCTGCTGCTCATCTTCCTGCTGGAGGTCATCGCGGGCATCCTGGCCTATGTCTACTACCAGCAGGTGGACGCCCGCCGTCCCCAGGGGTTCCTCTGCTTCTCTGCCCTCCCGTGGCCCTGCCCTCCCCACAGCTGCCCCCATGGCCCTGCCCCTCCACGGCCCTGCTCGCCTTATGACCCTGCCTCCCCACGGCTGCCCCCCCATGGCCCTGCCCTCCCCACGGCTGCCCCCCCATGGCCCTGCCCTCCCCACGGCTGCCCCCCATGGCCCTGCCCTCCCTAGGGGCTCCTCTGCTTCTGTGCCCTCCCCGTGGCTCTGCTGTCCCCGCAGCCCTGCCCCCCACGGCCCTGCTCGCCCTATGACCCTGCCCCCCCACGGCCCTGCCCTCTCCACGGCACCTTTGAGCCAGCGTGTGACCTCAGGGTCTCACCTCCACCCCTCTCCCAGCTGAACGCAGAGCTCAAGGACAGCCTCAAGGACACCATGACCATGAAGTACCGGCAGCCTGGCCACGAAAGGGTGACCAGTGCCGTGGACAAGCTGCAGCAAGAGGTGGGAGGGGCGTGGCTGGTGTTGGGCGTCAGCCTGGCTGTCCTGGGGTGTGTGTTGGGGTCAGCCTGCCTGTCATCTCCCACCCCCAGTTCCACTGCTGTGGCAGCAACAACTCGCAGGACTGGCGGGAGAGTGCGTGGATCCGCTCAGGGGAGGCCGAGGGCCGCGTGGTTCCTGACAGCTGCTGTAAGACCGTGGTGCCCCACTGTGGGCAGCGGGACCACGCCTCCAACATCTACAAGGTGGAGGTAGGCGGGACTCCAGCATTACGAGGCGGAGGGGGACGGGGCTCCAGCATTACGAGGCGGAGGGGGACGCGGCTCCAGGCGAGGGGGTGGGATGCCGGTCTGCGAGATCTTCAGCACCCCCTCCCACCCGCAGGGTGGCTGCATCACCAAGCTGGAGACCTTCATCCAGGAGCACCTGAAGGTGATCGGGGCCGTGGGCATCGGCATCGCCTGTGTGCAGGTGCGGGCCATGGGCGGGTGACGGGAGGGGTGTCTGACGCCCTGCCCGTGCAGGGGCCCTGGGTCCTCACCCCCCCTGCCTCCCCCACAGGTCTTCGGCATGTTCTTCACTTGCTGTCTGTACCGGAGCCTCAAGCTGGAGCATTACTGAGCCGGGCCCGGCTCCCCGCCATGCTGCAGCTGCCCTACTACTGAGCTGACACTACTGATGGCAGAGGGCCCAGGCCTCCCCTCTGCCCCCGCCCCCACAGGTCACACCCTGTGTGGCCCAGGGTCTTCACGTGCCTTGCATTGCCCCCAGGCCCAGGAGGCTGGCCTGGCTGAAGACCCCCTTCCTGCAGGCTGCCTCATGGGATGGGTCCCTGCGGACCTGGGGAGGCTGGGGTGACTCCAGGGTGCTGGGCCCAGCCCCGGACCTCTGCCCCCTCCAATGGGCTGGCAGCCAGAGCCTTATACCCGGCGGCCCCTCCCCAGACCACAACGCTGGCATCTGCTTGCACATCACCCCCCACCAGGTTCCTGTGGGGTCACTGTCTGCTGTCCCACCCACTGCTGTACTGGTGCCCAGGGCCCCTCCTGTTACCCACCAGGTGCTTAATAAAGCGTGTGGAGTGAGAGGGTGAGCCTGCACTTGCAGGGTGGAGAGGGGAGGGTGCAGGCTGTGGTCATGGCTGGAGGAACCAGAGGGCAGTGGGATGCTGCTGCCCTGCCTTGCCTCCTGCTGGCTGCCCTGAGCCAGTGGGCACTGGGGCCTGCCTGCCGCTGTCCCCAACCACAGCTCCCACACCTCAGCTGAGGCCTCCGCCGGACACACTGCTCCTGCAGGGCACTGTGGCCATAGCAGCTACCTGGTTCTCTGAATTCTGATTGGAGCAGCGACCCGGGGCCTCCTTGGTTGGGGGGGAGCTGCCCCAGCAGGGTCCGCGTGCCCAGCTGAGCAGGCCAACATGCCGGAGGTCTGCCTGCTGCCACAGGCTCAGGACTGGAACTGGGTCCCCAAGATGAGGTCGCCCCCTGAACGGCACAGGGAGCCCCACAGAGCAGGTGGAGGCATTTGCAAGGACTTTACTTGGAGTATCAGAAGACCAAAGCCCCCGCCCGCTTCGGGGAGAGCTCCAGGAAGGACGCAGATGGCCGTGGCGGGAATGGTCACTTCTCCAGGGGCGCGTAGTTGAGCAGTTTCTCAATCAAGTCTACGTGGGACAGCAGCATGCGGCGGCAGCAGTAGCGCTTCAGGCCCAGGGCGTCCAGGGCGTCCCTGCAGCGGGCAGCAGGTGCTGTGAGGCAACAGGCTGCCACGCCCCGGCCCCTCCTGCACCTGCTCTGTGGAGCCCCCAGCCCCAGCCGGGTTCCCCAGCCCCTCCTGCACCTGCTTCGTGGAGCCCCCAGCCCCAGCCGGGTTCCCCAGCCCCTCCTGCACCCGCTCAGTGGAGCCCGGAGTCCCCAGCCAGGTTCCCCAGCCCCTCCTGCACCTGCTTCGTGGAGCCCCCAGCCCCAGCCGGGTTCCCCAGCCCCTCCTGCACCTGCTCCGTGGAGCCCGGGGCTCCCAGCCCCTCTTGCACCCGCTCAGTGGAGCCCAGAGTTCCCAGCCAGGCTCCCCAGCCCCTCCTGCACCTGCTCCGTGGAGCCCGGAGTTCCCAGCCAGGCTTCCCAGCCCCAACCGGGCTCCCCAGCCCCTCCTGCACCTGCTCCGTGGAGCCCGGAGTCCCCAGCGAGGCTTCCCAGCCCCAACCGGGCTCCCCAGCCCCTCCTGCACCCGCTCGGTGGAGCCGGGAACGGGGCTCCCGGCAGATCCCCACATGCTGCCCAGCAGGCACGCAGCGACCTTGGGCATCCACCTGCACGCGAGCCCATGGTCGGTCTGTGGGAGGAGTGGGGACAAACCCAGACACGCGTGTCCGGCAGCAGGACGAGGAGGCGGGCCGGGAAAGCGGGTGTCCCGAAGGGGCGTGGGGGGCGGTGGCGGGTCGGGGCTCCCCACTCACGGGCCGGCCCGGGGGTCCCAGGCAGGGGCGCTCACCCCTCGGTGTACTCGGCCTGCAGCAGCCCCAGGTAGGCTTCCCACTTGTTGCCGACAACCTTGCCGCAGGTGAAGCAGCGCACGGGGATGATCATGGCGGCGGGCGCTGGGCTCCCGGTCCTCCCGGCCCTCGGTGGCTCTCCGGGTGCTCGCGGTCCTCGGCTCCCGGCTCTCCGGGTGCTCCCGGTGCTCGGCTCCCGGTGCCCGGCTCTCCGCTCTTCTTAGCCCGGGTCGCTGCGTCACAGGCCCCGCCCCGGGCGCGTCCACTGGAGCGGGGTGTCCTCCGCGCCCATTGGCGAGTCGCGCTCACACGTCCGCGTCCTGCCCGGGCGGCGTCCCCTGGCCCTGCCGGCGTGGTACGTGCCGCGCTACGGCGGCGGAGCTGGGCCGAAAGCGGACGGCGGCGGCGGTTCGCGTTTCTCGTGCCGGTGTGACTGACAGCCGCGCGGCGGGAGTGGACGGCGCGGCGGGAGTGGACGGCGCAGGTACTGCGCGGCCACCGGCCGGCCCGGACCCGGCGGCGACCTCCCGGCCCAACGTCCGGTGCGGAGCCCCCGGCCGGTGGCAGCAACAAGTGGGGCCGGGCGAGGGGCGTTGCAGTGGGGTCTCCGTGGAAGGGATCCCCACGGTGGAGCCCCCGCCCAGGACTGGGGTCCCTGGCGCCCCCGTCGGTGGCGTCCTCGCTCTCACCCAGGCCTGGGGCCTGGAGGTTGGTGAGGGAGGGCTGCGTGGACGAGGCGCGCTGAGAGTCGAGCCTGGACCCTGTGCGCGGAGGGCGCGGGGGGCGCGCGGGGTGCCAGCAGTGCGCCCCTGCGCGTGCTGCGGCCTCTGGGCCTCGAGTGCTGGACTGGGGGCGCGCCTTGCTGGGGTGGTCGTGCGGGCTCAGCCCCTGCCGGCCGCTGGCCCTCCAACCCGCGCGGGGCGGTCCAGCGCCGCGGCCCCGTCGGCCACGTGCAGAGCCACGAGCCCAGGCCACTTCCCTTCGCTGCCCCCTCCCCCCGGGCTGAGTGGACGCACATCCTGCCCGGGCCAGGGGGGCAGGCCGGCGGCCGTGAGTCACCGCCGTGGCCGGGTCAGAGCCAGGCGCAGCTGCTGAGGCAGGGAGCCCGTGGAGGTGAGGGGAGGCGGGGACGAGGGCTTCGCGGAGGAGGGTCCGGCCTGCCCGGCCCCTGCCGTGCGGGGGGAGACGCGGTGAGCCGCTCGGCCGGGTGCGCATTCCTGGGATTCCGAGTGCGCGCGGACCTGGGGCGGAGGGGCGGCGGGCAGGCTCTTGCGCCCGGGCTCCCCACGGCCCACGACAGGCCTCGGCCCGGCGCGCAGCCCCCCAAGGCGCCCGCCCCGCCGGCCTCTCTGGCCCGGCCTGTGGGGAGCGGGCTGGGGGCGTTCCCCAGGTCCTGACCAGAGGAGGGGGTCACTCCAGGGCAGGGGCCTGGGAGACTCGTGACAGACCTCGGGCCGCCAAGCCGCGCCCACCCCGGGCGTTGCCCTGGAAACAGGCCAGCCCCGAGCGCGGCGGGCGAGCCTCCCCATCCCGGAACCGGCCGCAGCTGCCCCACCTGTAAGGACTGGTGGGGGCTGGGGCTCCTCTGCCCACCCCGACACGTTTGGGGGTGCAGCCGACCCTTGCTGGATGGAGCTGATTGTGGCTGCAGTCCCCCAAACGGGGCGGCACTCTCCTGAGGGTTCCCCCTCTGTACCCCAGTGCCAGAGGGAGACACCACAGACAGGCAGGCAGCCCGGCGGGCCCACGGCGTCCACGCAGTGCCTCCCAGGGCCTCCACCTGCCGAGAGCTGGTCAGCCTGGGTGGCCCTTAGCGAATGTCGCTCTGTCCCCAAGCTGCTTCGGCCGGGGAGACTGCTCCCCCACACCAGGGGCAATCTGCCACCAGGCTGGCTGGGGTGTGTGACCCTGGGCTGGACTCACCACTTGGGGTCTGTCCGCTCAAATCCTGCCGTGGACCCCTGGTCCCTCCCTGCACCCCCAGGTAAGCCCAGCCCGGCCTGGGCCTCTAGGATCTGTGGGCTGGGAGGAGGCTGTCCTGCCCAGGCTCTGTGTGTGTGGCCTGGTGCCCGGCCGTCTGCCAGGCCGCTGTGTGCTGCCCCTGAAGGCCTGCGCTCACCAGCGTTTGCCTTGGTGGCGCCGCCTGGGGCCCCAGGCCAGGCAGGCTCCCCTTCCCCCTGAGGCGGCCTGACGCTGGGCTGGTGGCCACTGCCAGCCAGTCTCAGACCTGCACTGCATGGGTCCCTGTTCCAGTGAGCTGTGGCCTGGCCAGCTGGTGTCCCTGGCTCACCCCCTGGAGCGGTGGCCTGGCTGGGGTTTGCAGTGCCCCCCAACAGGCTACAGGAAACCCCGGTCTGGGAGGGCAAGGTGTTCGGGGGACAAAGCTGGGATCTGGTGAAGCCTGCTGGGCTGGAAGAGGTGGCCAGTCCTGGAGGAGGGCAGCACAGGAGCCCCCCATTCACCCTGGGCAGGCAGATGAGCCCCCGGGCACAGGGCTGTGTGCCAGGTTCCTCTGAGCACACGGCACAGGGCAGGGAAAGTGGACAGCCCCGATGGTCTCCTGGGGGTGTGACATGGCCGTGAGCACGCGTGCCCTATGCCTGTGTGAGCACGTTCTCTGTGTCCGGCAATGGCCCTCCCGCCTGGCCGTCTTCACAGGCCCCTGCCCAGCACTGACCCCCTTGTCTCTGCCGGCCACCTCCCCCCACCCCAGGAGAGCCCAGGCGGGTGCCTGTGATGGGGACCGCCTCCCGGTCTTACCCACACGCGGGCATTAGAAGCTGGGCTTCTGGATGCCACTTCTGGTCCACCCCAGGCAGGACTCCTGTGTGGGAGGGGCTGCAGCCGCCCGCACTGGGCCTGGGGGTGCGGCTCTGCATCCTCTGGGGTTTGGGGACACCCAGGGATCCTGGGACGTTCCCCTTAAGCCTCCCTCTGCCGCCTTGGGTGTTCTGGAGTGGCCCTCTGCCCTGCCTCTACCTCTGGGACCCCATGCAGGGTGTTCTGGGAGATAGAGGGGCCCAGGTGGCCGCGGTCTGTGTGGCCTGGGTTGCAGGTGCGGCGGGAGGGATCTCTTGGCCCCTGTGGCCCCCCCCCCCCGTGCCCACAGTGGCACCCGACTTGGCGTGGCAGTGGTCCTGAAGGGGTCTCGGGGTCCTGACTGCCACTAACTCCCTGGGGAGAGCTGGGGCAGTGGCTTCTGCAGGGCGGGCTCCTGGTGCCCGTCCACTGCCGTGTCCCGTGCCCCTTTCCTGGGACCCCGGGGGTGAAGGATGGCAGGGGGAGCGAGGGGGCGGTGCCCGGCCGAGGCTGCAGCTTCCCACCGAGCCGTGGGGGGCAGCAGAGAGCCCAGGCGGCCGCTGCCCCCACACTGCCCGCCTGGCACTCCTGGGGGACCCAGGCTTCAGAGCTGGATGGCGTCACCCTGGCCCCAGCTCTCTTGGCCTCCGCCACGGACTCTCGGGGTCTCGAATGTGTCCTATTCTCTCTGGACTTAGGGTGGACCTCCACAGTGACCAGCCTGGCCATACCCTCTCTGTGCCCTGGGCTGCAGGTTAGGTAACCGGGGATCCCTGCCCCACGTGCGTCCACGTGTCCAAGGGGCAGCGGCTCCTGGCCTTCGGGGGTAGAAGGAGCCCCTTGGAGCACCTTGCCCTAAGGAGCTGGCAGCAGCGTGGACTCTGCCTGGTGCCTTAGAAGCGCGTCGGGAGCCCGTGCCCGCCGAGGGCGTCCGAAAGCCTCGCCGACCCCGCGCCCCTGGCCATGCGTCCAGCACGCACCTTCACCCCCAGCACCCGCAAGGGCTCCGGCTGCGCCGCTGGGTGATTTGGGAGTTTGTTTGGCGCCCGAGTTTGCGGGGAGGGGGCGCGGCGGAGTGATTGGCCAGCGGGGCGGGGTCCGCGCGGGGCGGGGTCGCCCCGGATTGGCGGGGCGCGGGCGGGCGGGGGCGCGGCGGGCCGGGTCCCGGGCCCGCCGGGGCCGAGCAGCCGCGCGCCCGCTGCCTCCGCCGCCGCTGCGGTGCGGGCGGGATGGGGCGCTGCGGGACGGCGGCCGTGCGCGGCTGAGCGCACCGGGACCCCGGCCGCCGGCGCCATGCGCCGCTCCAGCACCGACGAGTCGGCCTACCGGCGCAGCCCGTCGCCCGAGCGCAAGGGGTCGGGCACGGCGCGCGGCGGCGGCGGCGCCTTCTTCGGCCTGCACGCGAGCCCCGGCCCCAAGGCGGCCCAGGCGCGCTACGCGTCGCCCAAGGGCAGCAAGTACGTGGTGTTCTACCTGGACCTGTCCTTCATCTTCCTCCTAGAGCTCAAGCGCTGCGGCATGGCGCGCGGCTGCCTGCAGGGCGTCAAGTACCTCATGTTCGCCTTCAACCTGCTCTTCTGGGTGAGTGCGCGCGGGGCCGCGGGGAGGGCGCGCCGGGTGGGCATGGGTCCCTGGTGTCCAGCACCCGCGCCCTCTCGCGCTGCAGCAGGACCGCCTGGGCACTGCACCACTGCCACGATGGGAGTCCCTGCAGTGTACAGGGCGCCCTGGGCACGTGCGGCGCCGGCAGCTCCTCCCTTCCCTGGCACCTGCTTGCTGGCCTCCACCCAGCCAGCCCTTGGTTCCCTAAGGGCTGCCGAGCCCCCCAGGCGGGCGAGGGCTTCCCCAAGACCCGGAGGCGCTGTGGAAGGAGAGGGGGTGTGTGCGCGCCCCAGCGTGGCGTGGGGGCTTGTGGTAGTGTCTGTTGATGGGACACCGTGTCCCCAGGGCTGCCTGAGCTGGGGGTTGCTGGGAGGGCAGGCTGTGCTGAGGGGCTGGGATGGGGGGAGTGCCCTGCAGGCTGGGGGAGGGGCAGGCTCCCCCACTCTGCCCTCCTAGTGACCTGACCACCTGCCTGCCTGAAGAAGGGGCCCCTTGAGGGGATCTCTGTGCTCTGGGAGAAGTCCACTTAATGGGGTCTCCAGGAATAGCTGTTGGCTCCAGGACCCCAACAAAAGCCCCCTGCTTCTGGTTCCTCTTCCCAGACCGCATCTTCAAACCCAGGAAACAGGGTTCCCCACCCCTCCTGCACTGCAAAACCCAGCTCCCTTTGTTGCCCCATGAGGTCTCATGCCCAGAGTCACCTCCCTGGCCTTGCCCAGCCCTGCCAGGACCCATGGAGTACAGAGGGTGGCAGCAGGGTCCACCTAGGGTACAGGAGATGCCCCTAGCTCTGCTTCAGCCCCCGTTCTCCCTGCTACCACGGACACCCCCCAGCTCTCTCCCAGGCTTGGCCCCTGGGGCCCCTTGCGGTCCTGCTTGGGGTGTGCAAGGGGCTGCTCTGTGTGGCATGGTCTGGTTTCTCCGGCTGATGCTCCAGCAGGCTGCCAGGCAGGATCTTGGGTCCTCTGGGGACAGGCATGGGGGTAGGCTCTGGGGTTAGGGTTAGCACGTGGGGTTTGGGCGTTGGTCCCCATCATGGGCCCACAGGGCTATCCTGAGAGCCCTATCCTTTTGGGGGAGAACTGGGCAGGCCTGGGGGCAGGGGGCAGAGGGCCTGTTGGTGGGGGACCCAGTGCAGGCCTGGGAGGGGCCATGAGCCCCCTGGGATCTCTGCCTCAGCAGCTGGGCCTTGGCCCACAAGGCTTTCTCAGTAACGGAAGCGGAAGTCCTGGTGGGGATGGAGAAGGACAGAGCCCACTCCACCACCCACACCCTGAGCTCAGGAGCTGCCCACCCCGAGGGCAGTCAGGGGGGTCCTGGGATGAGCCCAGGGCTTCCCTATGCTGTCCCCACCCCCACTGGGGTCCCCGCAACCTCAGGGCGGCTGCACTGTCAGCCTGATGTGCAGCTGGCTGGCTGGAGCCGTCTTCCTCTGAGCGATGATCCCATTGGCACCACCCGGGCTGAGGGAGGCCAGCGGTGTAGGTGTCCACGGCACTGGTGGCCCAGTGTGGGTAGCAGGGAGAGTGGAGGGGGAGCCCTGCCCGATGCTGGCCTACTCCCGGGGACCGGCTGCTGCCCATGGCACCCCTTGCACAATGAACAATACCTTTGGTATCACCCTGGGCGTGCAGACCCCTGAGGTCCCACTTAGTGGGAAGACATAGTGGGACTGGCATACTAGCTGGAGCCAGCAGCACCTCCACCAGGCCCAGGCAGGCTCCTGGAGAAAGCCTTGGCCCCCGTGGTGACCCAGGCATGTGGCCAACTGCCCAGCCATCTGCCATGCTGGACTGTATGGCCGGAGGGGCCTTGGGCCAGCTGGCACCTGTCCCATAGGCCTGGAGGGGAGCATGCTGGATGGTCAGCCACCAGGCATTGTGGGGTTGACCCAGGAAGGGCAGAGCTCAGGGGTCTGTGGGGCGAGGACTGGCTTATCCTGCATCCCAGGCTGGGCTGAGACTGGATGAGTACGAGGGGGCTGGGCAGGCTTCAGCATGCACTGGGGTGGGGCCCAGGGCAGCAGGGAACTGTCTGCTGGGGGCTGAGGGGTTCCCAGGCCCCCTGAATGTGCCCCACATCCCTCTAAGACCCTGCCTGCCCCTGCACCCCAAGGCTGTAATTTTCCTGCCAAAATGCTTTAGAAGCTGCAACGCAGAAGCATTTTCAAAATTACAGGTAACACTGTTGGCTTGGTAAGCACACACGTGTTGGTGTGTGGCTGGTTGGCAGGAACCTGCAGGACCCTCAGGCCAAGTGGCACATGGCAGTGGCGTGCCCCTGCGTTGGTGGCAGTGCCTGCTGGGTGTCATGGTCCCCAGTCTGGGCTCAGTAGCCACAGCAAGGGAAGGGCTGGGGCTAGTGGGCACCTCCCCTGCACCCTCTAGCCCTGGCTTCCTTGGTCCTTCTGCCTCCCCAGTCCTTCTAGGTACCCCAAGGGGTGTATTCCTGCTGACAAGCAAGTGGGCGTGTGCTGAGCAGGCAGCCGGTGCCAGCACCTGGCCGCCACAGTCCTCTGTCTCTCCTGGGTGCTCAGCACAGAGAGGGCTGCCCTCGGGTGTGCCCCTCTGTGTGGTGCGCCCAGGAGAGGGCTTGGGGGCTGGGGCCCCTGAGGCAGGCATGGCCGAGGAGCACCTGTCCCTCGGCCCCAGTCCTGGGGGCTGCTGTTGGGCAAGGCTGTGTCTTCATGGGCAGCATTTGCGGGGCCAGGCAGGGGTGAGGCTCCGAGCAAGCACTCAGCTCCATGGCCTGTGTCCAGGGCAGGACAGCAAGTGGTCAACATTTTGGACACTGCTTCCCCCAGTGCTGGTCATCCTTGGCCAGGGTTCCACGGGAAGGGGACAGATGCTGCCAAGACATGTCCCCCATGTCTAAGTGCCAGTGGGTCCCTGTTTAGCACCTCACAACCCTGGGTCTTAGGATGGTGGCTTCTCAGCCTCCCTCGTCTGCCAGCCCCTCCACCTTGGCAGCTGCCTGTTCTGCCCTGAGACAACAGCGTGGGTCCCTGTCCAGCCCTGCCCTACAGCCTGGCACTTGCCACTGAGCATCCAGTCACTGGCCCAGGTCCAGCCCTCCTTGGGGTGTCCCCCAGCCTGCCTCTGCTCTGTCTTGATGGATTTGTGTTGTGACAAGCAGGGACGGAATTCAGCCCAGGCAGGGAATCTGGCCCTGCCAACCTAGAGGCCTTCTGGGACAACAAGGGTGGGCAGGGTCTACCTGGGGGTGCACACCAATGGGATGGTAGGAGGCTCGGGACTCTGGGCTGGCCCCTCACCCTGTCTCTGTGGCCCAATCCTAGCTGGGAGGCTGCGGTGTCCTCGGTGTGGGCATCTGGCTGGCCGCCACCCAAGGGAACTTCGCCACCCTCTCCTCCTCCTTCCCATCCCTGTCGGCTGCCAACCTGCTCATTGCCACCGGCACCTTCGTCATGGCCATTGGCTTCGTGGGCTGCATTGGGGCCATCAAGGAGAACAAGTGCCTGCTGCTCACGGTGAGTGGTGCGGGAGCTGGGGGAGCTGGGACTGGTGGGGCGGGGGACCAGGGTGGTTTCCAAGGTCTCCCCAGCACCCTGATGACTGGCCTTGGGAGACCAGCTGGAGGGTGAGGCTGTTGGATCCCCTGAGCCAGGCGGGGGCTCCAGGGGGTTGAGCTTGGGGTGCTCTCACCTGGGTCTCCCCTGATGGGACATGGATACACATGAGCAGACACACTGCCACATATATGTGCCTGTGCAGGCCACCTTTCCTGCCTCCTGTCCACTGCCTGCCCACACACAGGGCTGAGAAGGCTGGAGACACAGGGACCAGGCTACTGCCCCGTACCGACCAGCAGTGCCTAGGCCAGGCTGGGGGTCAGGCTGCTGCCCTGTACTGACCAGCAGTGCCTGGGCCAGAGTGGGGGCGAGGCTGCTGCCCCGTACTGACTGAGCCAGCAGTGTCCAGGGTGGGCTGGGGGCCTTTTGCAGCTTGGGGTCTAACCTGAGGGCGTCCGGCTGCTCCTGGCCGTCCTGCAGGCTGGTAGTGTGGCCCAGTCACCGCCCCACACAGAGGACACAAGATCAGGGCTCTCCCAGCCCTGGACAGGCTGTGCCTAGGCCTTGCACATGTCCTACAGTCAGATGGGTTGGGGGGCTATAAACTTGTGCTCCCCACTGCCAGGTGGGTGGAGATGCTCCCTGCTTTGGGGCCGAGCAAGGTGGACCAGAGAGGGGGCTGGGAAGAGGGGACCTGGGCAGCCTTCCTGGGGCTGCAGCTCACTGAGTCCCCCGGCCCCCAGTTCTTCGTGATGCTATTGCTGGTGTTCCTGCTGGAGGTTACCATCGCTGTGCTATTCTTGGCCTACACAGACCAGGTACAGCCGCCCTGCCCTGCTCCCAGGGGCCGCCCTGCCTGACCCTGTCCCCCAGCCCTGCTCCACCAGCCTTGCTCCCAGGGGCTTCCCTGCCTGGCCCCGTCCCCCATCCCTGCTCCACCCTTCTCCACCAGCCCTCCTCCCAGGGGCCGCCCTGCCCGGCCCTGTCCCCCGGCCCTGCTCCCAGGGGCCGCCCTGCCCGGCCCTGTCCCCCGCCCTGCTCCACCAGCCCTGCTCCCAGGGGCCGCCCTGCCTGGCCCTGCCCCCCGGCCCTGCTCCACCAGCCTTGCTACCAGGGGCTTCCCTGCCTGGCCCTGTCCCCCAACCCTGCTTCCAGGGGCTTCCCCAGGGGCTGGCTGCAGGGTCCATCTCACACCTCAGTGGTCCTGAGGACATGTGGGGCCCACGCTCCCCTGCCTCAACCACCCATGCTGGATTTTCCCTCCAGAAGTTGGTCTGAGACCCGGTCGGAGACCCTGTCTGGGCCTGGTGAGCTGCTGCTGCAGTGTGTGTGGGCAGATAGGGGTGCAGGCCTGTGGCCACCCTGGGAACGTCAGGAAGGACAAGGCTGGGGGTAGGCGGCCCTGGTCACTCTGCCGTCCCCTCTGCCCAGATCGACAGGTATGCCCAGCAAGACCTGAAGAAAGGGCTGCACCTGTATGGCACGCAGGGCAACGTGGGCCTCACCAATGCCTGGAGCATCATCCAGACAGATGTGAGGCACAGCGGCTGCAGGGAGGCCGGGCAGGCACTGGGAGGCTGGGCGGGGTGCAGGGAGGCCGGGTGGGCACTGGGAGGCAGAGGGGGCCTGCCGACCGCCTCTCCCACCACAGCCTTGGCCCTCACTCCTGCAGTTCCGCTGCTGTGGTGTCTCCAATTACACTGACTGGTTTGAGGTGTACAACGCCACGCGCGTGCCTGACTCCTGTTGCCTCGAGTTCAGCGAGAGCTGTGGGCTACACGCCCCGGGCACCTGGTGGAAGGCGGTGAGTGCGGGCAAGGCCTGCGGGCGGGGAACGGGAAAGGGTGGCCAGCAGCCCGCTGAGTGGCCCCTGCTCTGCCCGCAGCCCTGCTACGAGACTGTGAAGGTCTGGCTGCAAGAGAACCTGCTGGCCGTGGGCATCTTTGGGCTGTGCACGGCGCTGGTGCAGGTATGCAGGGTGCCAGGTCCACGGGTGGGGGACACTGAGGTGACAGAGATGACACAGGTCTGTCACATGCTGGTGGCTGGTCCCAGGACTGCCCCTGGAAGCCCCTCAAGCCCCCAGCCCTGGATGCTCTTTCTGGGGCAGTCTGCTCTGTGCTTGGGCACACGGATGGATCCGAGGGGGTCACTGGTACCCAGTCTGAAGATGGAGGCCCTGGGTGGCCAGCACAGGGAGGATGTGGAGAGGCTGGGCTTCCCTCAGCAACCTGTTCCCTGCAGATTCTGGGCCTGACCTTCGCCATGACCATGTACTGCCAGGTGCTAAAGGCGGACACCTACTGTGCATAGCAGCACAGACACCAGCCCTTCTCTGCCAAAGGACACGCCCAAGGGGAGGCCACACCCCAGGGCTGAGCACACGCGCACGGGGAGGCCACATCGCCAGACCAGACACCCAAGGGGGTGGCACGCTCCGCACTCCCCCGGCTGCAGGACTTGGCGCGGGGGACAGCAGCGAGTGCCCGGAGCTGTCGGGCAGCTGTTGGGTGGACCTGTGTGGGAGGGGCTTCTGGCGCTTCTGATCTCCATGTATTCTCCAGCACAGCGGTAGCACAGTGGGCTGGAACAGCAGGGCACGGGCACAGGACAGCCATAGGCACCCTGCCGATCCTGGTGCTCTGGGTGGGGCCCTCATTCACATTCCACGGTGGGTACCAGCCCAGGTGCGTCTTAATAAAGTGAGTGGCTCCCGGTCCCCGTGTCTGTGTCCGGGTCCAGTGCTGGTCCTGCTTGGTTCCCAGCTCTAACGCCACTCTGCTGTCAGTCCCAGGTCACAGAAGGACAACGGTGGGGAGGCTGGGTAGGGGCTGCTGGCCCGACAGGCACCTCCCAGGACTGAAGCCCCAGACCCAGCATCCCGGATGCTTGGGCATTGGGCCAGCGCGCAGGACCCCAGCTGCCGTCCAGCACAGCCACTAGGCCCACAAGGCAGCGTCCTCTGGGCTCCGCAGCCTCAGACGACCAGCAGGACAGGCAGCAGCCCAGAAACATGACCGGGAGGTGAGGAGGAGGACGGGCTGAAGGGGGTCATTGAGACTCAGCTGCTCCAGGCACCTGCCTTGCCATCTCCCAGCACCCGTGTTGATCCTCTGCCAGACAGGGCTGGGGGAGAACCCACCCACAGGGGCCTGGGCCAGGTCCCAACTCTGCTGGCCTTGCTGCTGCTGTCACCAGCAGGTGTTGGGTGCCTGGACACGGGCCTGACACTATGCTGGGCCACAGCCCCCTCCCCACAGCATGGCCACACACCAGCACCCATCATGGCACAGAGCACACGCCTGTATTTTGCACCGACTGTTCCATGGCTTGGGAGCGTGTGTCCCCATGGGCCTGTCCTAGAGCAGGTCGTAGAAGTAGTCCAGACCTTGGCCCAGCTCCCAGATGGACACACCGACGCCCAGCTCCTGGGCCAGCTCCAGCCGTACCTGCAGGGACTGTGGGCACAGACCGAGGTGTGGGCGCCTGCTGCAGCCCCCAGCACAGCATCCACTGCCTGCTCACCCACCCAGCACCATGGCGCTCACCTGCAGGGTAGGGTAGAAGACGATGCGCCGTCCACCTCGGCTCCTGAGAGAGAAGCAGGACCCATCACTGCACCTGTGGCCCTGCTGCCCCCTGCCTGCCCTTAGCTCCCCCATCCCCCCCCATCCCGCCCCTGCTGTCCCAGCTCCCCCCCATCCCACCCCTGCTGTCCCAGCTCCCCCCATCCCGCCCCTGCTGTCCCATCCCCCCCATCCTGCCCCTGCTGTCCCAGCTCCCCCATCCCACCCCTGCTGTCCCATCCCCCCATCCCGCCCCTGCTGTCCCATCCCGCCCCTGCTGTCCCATCCCCCCCATCCCACCCCTGCTGTCCCAGCTCCCCCCATCCCGCCCCTGCTGTCCCATCCCCCCCATCCTGCCCCTGCTGTCCCAGCTCCCCCCATCCCGTCCCTGCTGTCCCATCCCCCCCATCCTGCCCCTGCTGTCCCAGCTCCCCCCATCCCGCCCCTGCTGTCCCATCCCCCCCATCCTGCCCCTGCTGTCCCAGCTCCCCCCATCCCGCCCCTACTGTCCCAGCTCCCCCCCTCCTGCCCCTGCTGTCCCATCCCCCCCATCCCGCCCCTGCTGTCCCAGCTCCCCCCCTCCCACCCCTGCTGTCTCAGCTTCCCCCATCCTGCCCCTGCTGCCTGCTCTCAGAAGGCCCTCCCCTGGCCACACCTACCTCTTGTACTGGAAGAAGTGCTCTGCTGCCTGGCTGTCCCACGTTAGTCTGGGCTTGTGTTCCTTCAGGGTCTGGATGTACCTGGGGTGGGGGTGGGGGTTGTGCCAGCTGTCCCCCCACCATCCCCTGGAATCTGGCTTTCCCAGAAGGGTAAGCCATCTGGGCCAGTAGGTGCAGATTCACCTCGATTCCTGGTCCCAGGGAGAAGTCGCCCTCTGAGGTCTCATCCTATCCTGCGAGGAAAGCAAGGCCCAGAACTGCCCAGCCCTGGGGGCAGCGCCAGACAGCCCCCCAAGGGAAGGTCAGCTCAAGAGGCCCTGCTGCAGGCTGCAGGCCTAGGAGAGGCGATAGTGCAAGGAGTGCTGGGATCCCCACTGTGGACACAGCCCCATGAGGCTGACAGTCCCCCACACTGCTGGCTAGGGCCGAGGCTTCGGGCAGCTTGTCAGGGAACACAGCTCATAGCCATCTCATTGGAAAACTGCAACCAGCAGCCCAGACAGGGGGTCTGGCAGGTGGCTGAGGACAAACAGGTTATTCCACAAGGACAGCTGGGGGCATAGCCCCGGGCACAGGGGGGGTCTGTGCTCCAGGTTGGATGGTTGCCTGCCCCTCCCCCCACACCCAGACCCCCAGAGGAGGAGGTGCAAGCTGTGGCCCTGAGACAGGCCAGGAAGGGTGCGTGAACAGTACCAGCTGTGGTGACGAAGGACAGCCCAGGGGCCCAGGGCATCCTGGTGGCCATGTGCAGGCTACAGCCAGTGAGGCCATCACACACAAGGGTGGTGGGGTTCTGGGAGAGTTGCGGGGGAGGCAGCAATGGGCCTTCCCTGCTCCCCACACACGGGCCCAGCTACAGACAGGCTGCGCTCTCCCCTCCTGGCCCCACGTGGACAGCTGTGGCAGAGGGAGGGTGCCCACCCAGACTGGTAGCTTCTGGCTTGGCAGCAACCCTACTCCCAAGTATGTCAGCTAAGGCCAGGACCTGGACCTGTCCTTGTAGGGCCCAGTGAGAGCCTGGGGAGTGACAGGAGGGTGGTAGAAGAGGTGAGAGCAAGCTACTGGCAGGGGACTCCCCCCCCCCGCCCTCACCTGCTGATGGAGGACTAGTTGACAAAGCAACAGCCAAGCATCTAACTAAATCCCCACTACTGCTCAGAACAGGAGGTCGAGCCAGAAAGCAGGTGGACTGTGGGGTCAGTGCAGCTGGGGGGTGGTGTGTGTTGCTGCAGGGGGCAGGGTTTCCCTACGGGCACTAAATCGCACACCTCTGTGAGCTCTATGGGCACTAAATCGCACACCTCTGTGAGGCCCTGCCCGGCCTCTGGGCCGGGCCTCTGGGAACAATGTGAGAAAGATGAGCCTGGAGCTCCTGGGTTTGGGCAGTCACCCCTGCAGGGAGAAAGGCAGGGACCAGCTGGGGACCTGGCCAAGGGTGAAGGCAGGAATGAAGGACACACCCCATGGAAGACAGGCGCCCAACCCTGAGCCCACAGGGGGCATCCTTCCCCAAGCAGGCCCCACGGGGGCATCCCCCTCGACTAGGCCTGCTGAGGGGCCTGGGCTGGGATACCCTGGGAGGGCAGGGGGTCAGGTGCCTGGCCTGCCCTGACAGCCTCAGCCCATCAGTCAGCCCGAATCCCCAGAGCCAGGGGGAGAGCTGACCCAGAGTGGTAGCCGAGTCCGCCCAGCTCAGGAGGACACGGGGTGGGGAGTGGGTTAGATCAATACTATGCTCCCTCTGGGGCCTAGGCCTCGTCTGCTCCAACAGGCGTCTGAGGAGCAGGGCTCGGTGACAGCAGACTGGACCCATGTGCATGCCAGCTTGGACCACTCAGGCCAGGCTAACTAGGAGGGGAGGAAAGGTATGAGACAGGCAGGGATGACGGCCATGCCTGGGCTCAGCGCCACAGGGCGTCAGCTCCAGTCCTGGCTGCTTCCCACCCTGCTCCCTGCTTGTGGCCTGGGAAAGCAGTGGAGACTGGCCCAAGTGCTTGGGATCCTGCACCCGCATGGGAGACCTTGAAGCAGCTCCTGGCTCCACATTGGCCCAGCTCTGGCCACTGTGGCCATTTGGGGAGTGAGCCAGTGACAGCAAATCTCCTCCCTTCCAACTCTGCCTCTTCAGTGGAGGAAGGGTGCAGTATGTGGTGCTAGGGCCGAGGGCTGAGGCTTCCTCCTAGGGCTGGATCAGCTTCTCAGGCACGGGCCTGTTTCTCGTCTGCTGGCCGCGCAGCAGACAGGAGGGTAGCTATGTCTGCTCTGAAGGTGCCAGCAAGGCTTGGGGCAGAGGTGGACCATGGCCTCTGAAGGCAGGGTCAGGACGCCCCAGTAGAGGGAAGGGAGAGGAACCAGCACACCATGCTGTGTGTGTGGGGCTTGATGGGGACGAAGCCAGGGACCACAGGTGGACAGTGCAGAATGGCTTCGAAGGGAGCAGAGCCCACGTTACCAGCTGCTTGCTCCTCAATTTTTGTCCCTGGTCGAGAGGAGGTGCCTGCAGAAAGCCCCACGCAGGAAGTGATCCTGGGAGGTGGAACTGGGTGGGCAGTGTGCAGGGACCGCGGCTGGGCACACTGAACGTGCTGTGAAACAGGCTCAAGTGCTGCCCAAACATGGCCTTCACCTGCCCTGGCGCCTACAAGCACAACCTCTACAGTGGGACGGCCCCTCCCCTGGCCCCCCTTGCCACTCCCCTGGGCTCTCGGGCCACTCCCCAGGCCTCCCTGGCCACTCCCCTGGGCTCTCGGGCCACTCCCCAGGCCTCCCTGGCCACTCCCCTGGGCTCTCGGCCACTCCCCTGGCCTCCCTGGCCACTCCCCTGGGCTCTCGGCCACTCCCCTGGGCTCTCAGGCCACTCCCCCAGCCTCCCTGGCCACTCCCCCGGCCTCCATGGCCACTCCCCCGGCCTCCCTGGCCACGCCCCCGGCCTCCCTGGCCACAGCCCTGGCATCTGTGCAGTGGGAGGCTGGGAGGCCAAGCCAGGAACCCCTCAGAGGGCTAGGGCCCTGGGCTCCTAGCAGCCCTTGGGGCAGGTCCTGCCGAAGCCTACGTGGGAGGGACACCCGGGCACACCAGGGCAGTGGGCAGCTACAGGAGGCTACACATCAGTACCTAGATCCACCTGCAAAGGATTCAGTGCTGGGAGTGGAGAGCACAGGGTCAGGGAGATGCAGCTGCTAGGGTGCTCTGTGGCTGCCAGGGAGTGATGAAGCTACTCAAGGAGCCCATGGCCATGGGCAGCACCAGTGGACACTGCATCACAGATCCCCCCTTCCAGGCAGGCACAGATGGCTGGCCCTGAACACCACATGGCCACTGGCCTTCTGGACTGCAGGACCCTGGCTCTGGGTATGAACAGATGGCATGGCTGCATGTGCTAGAACCATGCCCAAGGCTGACGGACGGCAGCCGATGGGCCCCCAGGCCTGCTGCGAGGGACCTCTGTTCCTGTCGGGCAGCAGGTGAGGGCCAGCCCCAGGAGGGGGCTGGGGCTGCTCCTGGGCAGGGGTCCTAAATCCCAGCCCAGCCTCGACCTCCCTCCTAAGCTCAGACTGGGCCTCCCTGGCCTGTCTGTCTTTGAAAGACAAAGTTACAGAGCCTGGAGCTCTATCTCGGTCTCCCACGCAGATGCAGGGACCGCAGCACTTGGGCCGTCCTCCACTGCTTTCCCGGGTGTACCAGCAGGGAGCTGGATGGGAAGTGGAGGCACTGAGACTGGAACTGGCGCCCATGTGGGATGCTGGCCCCGCAGGTGGGTGGCCTGACCCCCTCCACCACAGTGCAAGGCCCCTGAGCTACCTTTATGGTGGCAAATCACCCACTCACTAAACTCCCCTCACCGGGCCAAGGGACAATGGGGGTCACAGCGTGTCCAATGGATAGCTCCAGCCTCATAAGGGGCTGCTTTCCAGGGGACCCAGGTCCAGGGTAGAAATGAACCACTTGGGGAGGAGTGGCCAAGTGACCACAGCGAGTGGACACTGCTCCAAGCTGCCATCACAGGGCCCCTGTGCACAGGCAGCCCTGTTCTCCACAGCCTGAGGGCCCTCGCCCACCTCCAGGCAGGGAAGGAGCTGACGCCAGGGGACGGCCAAGACCCTGATAGATGATCATGTGACGTCAAGGGGCAGGTCTGGGCACATGAGAGACTTCTGAGAGAAAAGCCTGTCTATGCCAACAGAGGGAGAGGACGGCTGAGTGGTGCAGTGGCCAGGGTCCCGGCTGGTGGCCCAGTGCTCAGGTCCCTGCACCTACAGTAGACCCAGATGGAGCTCTTGCTCCTGCCTTCAACATGACCCAGCTCCCACCAGTGTGGCCATCTGGGGAGTGAGCCAATGATGAAGGTCTCCTGTGTTAGCTGCTTTTCAAGTAGATAAATGAAAGAAAAAAAAAAACCAGAGCTCCACCTGAGTTCACCCGTGTTGGGGGACAGTGGGTCAGTGGAGACCCCCTGGCCAGGGCAGGTATCTGAGCACCTCCAGAGCCCTGGTGGTCCCCCAGCCTGGGGGGGTGAGTGCAGAGCCCTGGGAAGGCAAGGCTCCTCCTTGCCCTCAGATGGTGGGAACTGCTGCTGCTGCAAGCCAGGCCCACCGAGAAGACTGGTGGCTGTGGGCACCTGCTACTAGCCCTCCCACACCATGTCCTCTGAAGCAGCTGGTCAGGACCAGGACAGGCACACCTTCGCCCCGTCAGCACTTCCTGCCTCTGGGAGGCTGCCCTGCTGAGCTGGCGTCTGCTACAATAGCAGGCAGGGCGGCAGCAACTGGCCACCTAGTGAGGCTCGGCTCCCTCCACCCACCTGCTCCTGCCTGCAGTCTGGGTCCAGGCCTGAGCTGCCCCACGGGTACCCGGGGCCCTCCCCTGGGTAGGCAGCTGGTCTGGGTCCAGGCCTGAGCTGCCCCACGGGTACCCGGGGCCCTCCCCTGGGTAGGCAGCTGGTCTGGGTCCAGGCCTGAGCTGCCCCACGGGTACCCGGGGCCCTCCCCTGGGTAGGCAGCTGGTCTGGGTCCAGGCCTAAGCTGCCCCACTGGTGCCCAGGGCCCTCCCCTGGGTAGGCAGCTGGTCTGGGTCCAGGCTTGAGCTGCCCCACGGGTGCCCGGGGCCCTCCCCCGGGGGACCCCTCAGCTCACTGCTGGGATAAGTGCAGGCTCGGGAGACCCCTCAGCTCAGTGAGTAATCTCCAGGTCCGGCTCTCCAGAAAAATGGGGTGCAGACTGCTCCCCAGAGGCGGACCCTGCCTGTCCCAGAGCAGAGAAGCCAGCTAGCTGGCTGCAGACACCCAGCACTCAGCCCGGTCAGTCCCGGGGGGCCAGGCCCACAGCCCGGCAGGACCCCAAACAAGGAGACAAACAGGAGAAACAGAGCCAATACCGGAGGGGCCGGCCTGGGACGTGGATGCTGTATGAGATGATGGAACCCCATGTGGGTGCTGGTTGGCGTCCCAGCTGCTCCACTTCCCAAGCAGCTCCCTTCTAATGTGCTTGGGAACACAGTGGAGGATGTCTCAAGGCTGTAGGTCCCTGCACCCACGTGCAGACTCAGATGAAACTCCTGGCTTTGGACGGGCCAGCGGCTGTGGCCATGTGGGGTGTGAGCCAGTGGTTGGAAGATCTCTCCCTCCCACTCCCTCTGTAACTCTACAGTTCAAAAAGTGAAATAAAAACACCTTAAAAACAAAAACCTACAGAGGAACAAAAGTACCAAGGGCTGTGGGTCAGAGGTGACGCCGAGCCCACGGTGGGGACAGTGGAAGACAGGAGCCCAGTCCAGCTTTCCCAGTGGGCGGAGGTGGGGACAGTCCCATGGTACACCCCTGGCCACGGCACCCCTTGCCTGGTCGTGGCACACCCCTCAGCTGGTCATGCACACCCCTCAGTTGGCACACGGCACCCCTTGCCTGGTCACAGCACACTCCTTGCCTGGCACATGGCACACCCCTCTCCTGGCACATAACACACCCCTCTCCTGGCACATAACACACCCCTCTCCTGGCACACAACACACCCCTTGCCTGGTCACGACACCCCCCTCACCACCTCGGCACTCCAGGCCTACATCTCTGAACCTGTGGTTGCCAGCCCAGGTTCAGCCCTGGGGCTCCCCAGGCTCCACCCCCAAGACGGGCTCCTGGGCCCCATGCTGAGGGTCCCTGGGCTCACCTGGCCCCCACGACGGGCTCCCGGGCATCCTTGGCAGCTGCATAGTCCATGCCGTAGAAGTTGAGTCCCAGAAGGATCTTGCCCCGCCATTTTGACTTGGGGTCCAAGACTTGTACACAGGCTCGAACCCAGGACAGTGGGGCGTTGGGGCCAGGTCTGTAAGAGCAGCGAGGGCAGAGGTGAACAGAGGTAGGAGCCCTGCGCTTGACCCCAGGCCCGGAGGCCTCACTGTGGACAGCATGTCTCCCTCTGGGTACGGCCAGGCCCCTCCCCGCGGTCAGGAAAAAACAGAAAACGAGGCTGTGGGCAAAGTGGCCAAGCTCCCTTCACAGTCCCCCACCCACAGGGAGGGTGCTCACTGCACCGTCCACCCCGAGTGCAGGCCAGGGTCTCAGGCCTGGGGACCCCAGAGGGGAGGAGGGCCAGCAGATCCATGGCAAATCGGACTTCTCTCCTCAGGTTGGTTTCCCAGGGCTCTGTCTGGCAGGACCGTTTGGCAGGGCCCACAGCCAACAGGGGAGTCTGGCAGGGGTGTCCAGCAGGGCCCACACCCAGGAGGGGCGTCCGGCAGGGCCCACAGCCAGCAGGTGGTCTCTGAGAGCCCAGGTCACACTCACTGCTGTGATGAGGCAGAGAAGTCATAGGTCATGAGGCTGAAGCCATCCATCACGGGAGCCAGCTGCTCAAACTCCTTGTGTGTGAACGTGCCCAGCCGGTCAGTCCTGCAAAGACAAGGGCAGCCCTCAGTCCCATAGCCAGCAGGCCTCGGTCACAGCCAGCAGCCCGCACACAGTGTGGTCAGTGGGGCCTCTCACAGCCAGCAGCCCGCACAGCCCTCTTTCCCCACACAGGACGGCCTGCAGCTTGCTCGGGGTAACAATCCTAAAGCCCGACTGGGTGTCCAGGAGCTGGCCGGGCCGGGCAGAGGAGAACATGGCTATGAAGGGTGCCATACACTGTGAGATTATCCAGTTCCAGCATGAACCCAAAGCACTCACGTGTGAGCCCTGCTGCCAGGGGCCCGGGTGGACAAGGACACTGTCTCTGTGCCCGGAGGGCCCAGGATGGCCCACGTGCTCTGCCCACAGCTCAGGGAGAGCAGGGTGGCCCACAGCAGCCCCTAAAACTCACACACTCAGGTGGTCTCGAAGCCAGAACTTGGTGTGCCAGACAGACTCCCACCGCCCACGGGCCGGGACTCGGACATGTCCCTACTGGGGCTCACACTATACCAGAGGGGGACTGGCCCAGGAGCTGCCTTTGTGGTTAGCATGGCAGGGACACGGGGTAGATACAGCCGACGGCCCAGAGCGTGCAGCTGGGGACAGCCACAGCCACACTTGTAAGCGCCCCTGCGGCTGGTCACTTCCAGAGTGAACGAGGACCCTGAGGGTCAGACACAGACTCAGCGGCCAGGGCTGGACCCCAGGCAGGGGCCTGCACTCCATCTGGGTCTCCCAGTGGGTGGCAGGGACCGAGTACCGGCACATCGCTGCTGCCTCCCGTGGCACACGTCAGCGGGAATTGCAGGCAGGATGTGAACAGACCCCAGAAATGGGCTCATCTCGTGTGCTGACGTAGCAGTGGCCGCCTGGGAGCCCCTCGCACACACGTCCTCAAAGGCTTAATTAGTTTGAGTGGAAGAGTGACAGACATCTTGCAGGGGCTCACCCTGCACCCCAAATGACTGTCACAGCACGAATGAGTTGGGTGCCCTTTGGCTTCCCCTGAGGCCGTGGGACCTGCACTGCTTCCCCGTGAGTGTCCACAGGCGCTCCAGTAAAAGGGGGCCAATGATGCAGGTGGCTCGACCACCACCGAGCCTTCACGAGGGCACAGACCCCACTCCTCACATCGCCACACACGTCACACTGGGTCGGAACCACTCCTCACACGTCACACTGGGTCAGAACCACAGGGGTGCCGAGCCCACTCCCCACACATCACGTGGGGTCTGACCACCAATGTGAGTGCCCTGGGTATACATTCAGACCACAGCCACATGGGAAGAAGCATGGCAGAGGGGACAGCGCTGGGCGTCCTGGGATGGGGAGCAGAGGTACACGGGTGGACAACCGTGGCTCATGCTGGGACCACACAGCAGAAAGTTCCAGGCCCAGGCCAGATGAGCCACATGAGGGCTGCCCAAAGGGGCTATGGGTCCCTCTGTCCTGGTGCCCAAGCTCACTCAGGGACTGCCCAGAGGAGCGTTGGGAAAGCGGTACGAGTCAGGAGGGACAAAGCACCACAGGCTTCCAGGGACGGGGAAGGGCTGTAGGATTTCTCCCTGTGACATGGCAGGCTCCTGTGACATCCTGGCTCCTCCTACTCCTGGACTCAGACGCACCAGGCCGCGTCTCCTGGGACAGCCCTCCTACGGGCTCAGAACTGCTGGGGAGGAGGGAGAGGGGCAGGGAGGGGGGACCCATGACACCACTGGGGCCAGGAGTCCCAGGCACCTGGCCAGCTGCAGCACCTCTTTCCCAGACCCCAGCCTGATCCCCACGGAGGACCCTCTGTGCCATGTCCCTCAGTCCTGGCACAGCTGAACCCGAGACCCCAGGCTCAGTCCTGGCTCCTCTCCTTGTCTCAGGAACGCAAACCCAGTGGCTGTGTCTAGTTCAATGTCCTGGAGTCGTCCACCCGAGCCTCCAGGTGTCCTTCCCATGGCCAACGCTGAGTGTGAGGATGGATACCTGCACCAGGAGAGGGGTGGGACTTGAACCTCTACCTCAAAGCCAAAGGATTTGATCAGACACAAGTAGATGTGACAATGGCCTGGGGTGGACTGGAGGTGTCCTGTGTCAGGGCCAGGTGAGAGTCCTGTGACCAGCGGACTGGGGTAGGCTGGTGGTGGTCCCATAGGTCAGGGTCCTACGTCTGAGCAGCAGCCTGGGGATGGGGTGGTGGTCCAGCCTTACTTGGGTCTGGCAGAAGGCAAGGGCTTCTTACACTGCAGGAGGTGGCCCTGGACCCAACTGGTGCTTCTCACTGTCCTCCCACCACCCCAGGGGCCCATCCCTCGCTGTCTCCTCGCTCTGGGGCCCGTGCATACAGCAGCACAAGCCCTGACCAGGCACCTCCCCTGGGACAGCAGGTCCCTCCAGTGGAGGACAAAGCTGCAGTGCGGTGACATTTCTGCTTGGCCAAAGATGTGGTCCTGGAACAGCTCCCCTTTCCCGCCCCCAGGCTGGGACCTACAGGAGGCTGCAGACGGACGACGGGCCAGCAGAGCCAGGTCAAACGCTGCTGCTGCCTGGGCCGATCCAGACTGCCCAATGTCTGACCTCGAGAGACTCCAGCTAATAACCCAACCCCAGCTAGGCCGGACCCTCCCCACTGATGCCCTGCGGGCTTGGCCAGGGCTGGCTCTAGCGCCCAGCACTGTGTGTGGCCACCAAGCACCTCGACTACCCCTTCCAGGGCATGGCCTGAGTGACGTCACTGTGGTGGCGCCTGGGTCGGGGGGCCCTGGAGAACATGGGGAAGTCCCAGCAGAGGGGAGAAGGCGGCCACGGGAAATGGGCCGCAGGAACCTGTGAGAATGAGACCTGGCCCTGTGTGGCCGATAGAAATCCCTGCTGGGGCAGGCCTGGGCCCTACCGCTGCCAACATTGTGCAGTAGATGGGATTGGGAGGGGGTGACCTAGGGGTCGGGGGGTAAAACAGGCTGCTGGCAGGTCCCAGGCCGGGTCCGTCTCCATGAACATACGGCGAGCTGTCCCTGGGCAGTCAGTGCACCTATAGTGCCTACTGGCCGCCCTGCGGCGAACTCTGGGGTTTTGGGGCTATGAATTGCTGCTTAGGTAGCTCCATGTTGGGCCTACTGTGCTTCTAGGTTGCGAATCAATCCTGAAGACTCCCAACAACAGAGTAACTTCTCCTTTGAAGGTAAGCAAGCGTACTGAGACCTGGTAGTATACAGGAGAGGGACCAGATGATATTTATGAGTCAGACTGATATGCCAGCCTCCTTTGAGTCCTGTGTAGAAGTTACCATTGAACAATGCTGACCACTGTACCCCACTCCATGCAGAAGCTAAGGTTGGGGGCTTGTCTAGCAGAACCATATCCTATTACTTGACAGAATGATGGATCAGGAGATGGGCCATGACATTAACTAGCACACGAGAGAACCATTTCTGGGGGTAGATTCTGTGGGATATCTGAGCCAAACCCTGTGGAAATACTAGCCTTGCTGGTTAGCTCAAGAGTTGGGGTGGTGATGGACTAAGCTAGGTGTGACCAAGGAGCCTGCTATCAATCACAGGTAAAGGAACTGACAACAGTCTGGACTGGTCAAGGCAGCAGCACCCGACTGTGAATCCTGAATAGGGTGTGAGGTGGGTTGGGCTGCAACCTTCACCAGCTCATACAAGGCCAAATGGAAGGCCAGATTTGGCCGGGACCTGGCCTAAAGCCCAAGGGCATGTATGGGAACTGGGTCTGGGAGTGGATTAAGTGGAGGAACTTGGGAAACTCCCCTGGTGAGTCTTAGCTCCCACTGGTGAACACATGGTCCAGGCCTAGGGGTCGGACAAGCCGGGCAAAGTAGCTCCAATGGCTGGGTAATGTGTGGGTGGGTAATGGAACGGGGTGGACCAGGCAGGGCCGAGCAAACTTTAGCTCACAAGCAAAAACAGAAATCAGGCTGGAGCACAGGTCATGCTGAGCTAGGCTCTTATACCTGCTGGTCTGCGTGAGCCAGGGATGCCAGGCCATAGCATCGAAGGCAAAGGCCAAGACAGGTGAGGATCTATGTTAAGCTGGCATGTGCACGGTCTATGGCTGGGAACAGGCCCAGTAGGGAAGTTAAGGGGACACTCTAGCTGGGTTGGGGTTCCCACTGAGGAATGCGGGGGCTGGAGTGGGGGCTGTGGTCTGGTCTGGATATGGCTGGAGTGACCCTTGGCACAAGTGTGGACTGGGACTGGACGCACCAAGCTGGGCTAGACTCCAATACCATCTGGTGGACCAGGGTAGATGTGGGATGGACTAGGCTAGGTCTCTGCCCCTACTGAGCCATATGTGAGCTGTGTTTGGGTATGGACAAGCCGTGGTTGGGCTGAAATATACAACAGTAAGAACCAGATTGGGTTGAAGGCCAGTCAGGAAAAGCCATTGTTCCTGCTAGGACAGGAGGTGGACTGAGTAGGGATGCACGAAATCTGGCATTGGGAGAGGTTCTGATGGAGGAGCCTGGGCAACTCCTCTGGTAGGACACAGTCCCTGCAGGTAAGTGCAAGAAGCACAATAAGGAACAGCCCAGACCAGGCCAGGGAAAGGTACCCACTGGCATACATTTGGCATAGGTGGAGGGCAGACCAGACTGAACCAGTTCACATCACCCACTGGCAAATCTGAGCACTAGAGCAGTGTGGGTCTGGCCAGGTTCAGATGCGACACAAGCCAGTGCACATTACAAAATGCCCAGGTGAGGTTACCTGTACCAGATGTGGCTGCAGCGCACAAACAGCACACGTGAGAACGAGGGAAGGAGGGGGCAAGGCTGGCAGGGGGAATGTGGGCTCCCCTGCTAGACAACCACTCCCACTGGAGAGCTTGAGCTGGGATGGGGGCAGACCAGACTAAGCAGGTCTATAACACCTGTGCGCCTCATGTGGACTAGATCAGGGAAAAACTAGGTTGGTCTGACTGTCCTCCTGGTGCAAGCAAAAATCAGAGAGGGTGAGGGTTGGTAGGGCTTAGCCACAGCATCAGCTGGCAGAGGCTGGCACTGGAGGCTGAATCTGTCAAGCTGAACTCCAGAACCACCAGGAGAGTACATAATCCGGGAGTGGGAGTGGCCATAATCCGATAGTGGGAGTGAAGGGAAATAGTGGGCTCCTCCCTCTTGGGTTACCACTCCCACTGGGGAGCACGAAAACCAGGACAGGGGCTGGGGTGGCTAGACAGAGAGACACCCAACAGCATGTGTGTGGGCTGAGTAGGAGCTGGTTAGGTTGAACTAGGCTTCAATGCCCATTGACATGTACGAGAGCCGAATGGGATGTGGGGCAGACTGGACTAGTCTGCTGCACATACTGGCAAACCAGGGTAGGGGATGGACCTGGAGGGGGTTATTGTGGGTCACTCCAACTAGGCTGCAGCCCCCACTGGTTTATGTGAGGGCCAAGTGTGTGCTGGGCAGAATTGGCTGGACTGCAACACCCATTGGTTCCAGTGGAGGAAAGGGCTGGAAACAGAACCAGCCTAGCAATTGAGACCACCAGCTGATTGGGGTGATGGACTGTACCAGGCCCTGTACTTGCAAGTACACACAAGAATCTGGTCTGGGATCACTTCAAACAAAGTTTCATTGGGGCTCTCCCCAGTCGAACTGCCAGATTCAGAACCCTTACCACGAAGAGAAGTGCAAGTTCCATGGTCTGCCATGGAGTGCAAGTGCCAGAGCCGAGCCTCCTAAGAGGCTCAGACAGAGCAATTGAGAGCATAACCAGGTGCACATGGAAGACATGGCGGTCCATCAGAACCTGCAGAGGATACCTGGCACCACAACAAAGGACAGAACAAATCAATCAACTACCCCAGCCATACTAAGGTAGACTATGTCAATCAGTGGATTCTGCAGCAAACTCACTGTGCTTGGAATGGTGAGACTGGCAGCAATTCATAACTGTCGAACTATCAAAGCCACTTCAGCAAGACCCTCGGAGCATGCCTCACATCGGGGACCTGGGATGGGTGGGAGCTGGGTGGGGCTTCTTCCTTTATCTCCCCCTTTACCCCAGATACAGGAAAAAAATGTGGAAATAATAGTTTTACCCACTTTCCTGTAGCCCTTGAACCTCTGTGCTGTAATTAACTATGTAAAGATTATCAAAAATAAATGATAGGTGCCATGGTAGGGTAGGGGCAGCTGGCAGAACTGGACTGCATCCAGCTATGGACCCAGGGCAAGAGGCAGCTCATGTTGGGTTCTACCCCAGGGAGGAAGAGCTCAGGCATGGGGTGCCCAGAGGCAGACCCGTGGAGGAAGGGCCTGGGCATGGAGTTCACACAGGTAGACCTGGAGAGGAAGGGTCCGAGCATGGGGTGCCCACAAGCAGACCCTGGAAAAGAGCCATGTGGGCTTTTCTGGGGGCTCCCAGCTACTGCACGTGGTTCGAATGTCCTGGATATGGCACGACTGCCTCTTCTGACGCTGGCCAACGCCCGGCTGCCCCACTTCTGATGCAACTCCCTGCTGGCGTGCCCGGGAGGGCAGCAGAGGCTAGCCCACGGTGCCAGTCCCTAGACTGGCCATTCCCAAGGACCGCACTGAGTGGGGTCAGCTCTGTTTCTTAGAGACAGAGCTTTGGCCAGGCCCAGGGCTTTGGCAGGCCCAATGTCCCACAGAGGGCAGCCCTTGGTGAGTTGGCCATTGAGGAGGGGTGTGCCAGGCCTAACCCATCCTTGCTCTGGCACCATCCTGCAGTCTACACTTGACGGGGCCACTGCAGGGACTCCCCAGCCCTCAGGACAGGATGACACAGAAGCGGTCTGTCCCCTTGGCCTGGCCTCCAGCGGAAAGCCTCCTGTCCTGTGTTCATTTCTGAAGAGAATATCTCAATGTGTGTTGGGGGGAAACTGGTGCACCCCACGTCTGCTGGGCCCCGGCAGTGAACAGGGCTAAGCACCCACTTGGCCCCAGCTGACCCTACCTTTGGTCACGCCTCTTGCTCCAGGCCCCAGGGCCTCAGGGTGGACTGCTTGCCAGCTGTGGCTACTGCCCCGGGCTCTGCCTGCATCGTCCTCACCTGCACCTTTTCTGGGCGCAGTGCAGGGTGGCTGCCTGGGCCGGGCCTCCCCAGGAATCCCATACCCAGGCAGCTTCCTCCTCAGTGCTGAGATGGCCCCCAACCAGCTGGGAACCAGCATCTGCAGGCAGCGGGCCACGGCTGCTCTTGGCAGCCTCGTCCGGGCTGCTCCTGGGGGCTGGCAGGGCTGGCTCCCAGACACCTACCCCCACTGGCCACAGCCAGAGACGGCCCTTCCCAGCTCCCAAGCTGCCCCCACATCTTCCCATATGCAACCTCTAGCCAGCCCATCCCTGACAGAGGACTCAGAAGGCGAGGCCTGTGGAATCAGGACCCTCTGGGGAGCCCGTGCTCCCCCAGGTAAGCCCTGGGACGGGTCAGACATGGTAGGGAGGGGCAGAGGGCAGCAATGCCCACAGGCCTCCCAGTTCTCAAACTGTCCCTCATCTGCTGCAGATGCAGCTGCACCCACTCACAGGCATACACGTGGGAGGCCAGCAGTAAAAAGGCCCAGCCCTGCCAGGGCGGGTGGACAGCGCCTGCGCATGGCAGAGGGAGCAGCACTTACCCGGGAGTGACCGCGGGCGGGATGACCAGGATGCACTGTAGCCGGGCCTGGCGCAGTGCCTCGGCCACGTGGGTCAGCATGTGGATGAGGCCTCTGCAAAGGACAGAGACGTGTGGTCACCCCACAGAGCCTGGGCGGCCCTGCAGGAGGTACCACCAGTGTCCCCCGGGAGCTTCCAGCTGGCCTTCTAGGTGTACCTTGCTGACCCTGTGGTGTGGGACCTGCGAGGCTCCCCTTGGGAAGAGGGGCTCAAGCATGGAGCCCCACATATGACAGCATGCCTCAGGACCCCAGGACAGTCTGCTCACTCTCAACCAGGGACACGCCACAGGTGACTGTAAGGGCTGTGCCAGGTGCGGGATCAGGGACAAGGACAGGCTGCAGCACCTGGGAGTATTCCAAGCAGGCAGGGACCACCGGATGGAGAAAACCAGAGAAGGTGGTATGGGCCAGAGGCCCCCGGAGGTGGAGGGGCAGTCAGCAGTGGGCCAGGCACAGACTCCCAGCTTCACTTTCCATGGGACCCAAGAGGGTGTAACAGTGTCCCCAAACCTGCTCTGTACCCCTTAGAGACGGTGGGTGCCAAGTCTGCCCCCTGCAGGCACGTGTCATCTCAGAGTACGGCTTGCACACAACCCACACATGCTCAGGAACAAAGTCTGGATGACTCCGTCACCCCTCGGAAGCCATGCCACCTGAGGCCAGGCCACAGCCACATGTCCACAGTGTGGGTGAGGCTGCGTCAGGGCACACTGGGAGGCTGAGTCCCTGAGGCCTTGTCACCCCCAGCAGCACCAAGATCACAGGCCAGGCACATTCCTGTCTCCGCAATGGGGTCCAAGTGAGGCTGAGTGCCAGGACCCCTGAGTGAGACCCTGGGCCACCAGGGAGCAGGGAGGCCCTTGAGCCTGCAGAAGATGAGGGGGAAGGTTGTTCTCACGCTTCTGACCACATACCCCTGGAGGACAGACTCGACTGAGACAGCGCATCAGAGGGCCAGGAACAGCCATGGGTGGGGGGAGAGAAGGGGCAGGAACGACCAAGGGTGGGGGGGAGAGAGGGGGCGGGAACGGCATGGGTGGGGGAAGAGAGGGAGGGGGAACAGCCATGGGTGGGGGGAGAGAGGGGGCGGGAACGGCCATGGGTGGGGGGACAGAGGGGGCAGGAATGGCCATGGCTAGGGGGACAGAGGGGGCAGGAACGGCCATGGCTGGGGGGACAGAGGGAGGGGGGCCATGGGTGGGGGGACAGAGGGGGCGGGAATGGCCATGGGTAGGGGGAGAGAGGGGGCGGGAACGGCCATGGGTGGGAGGAGAGAGGGGCGGGAACAGCCATGGGTGGGGGGAGAGAGGGGCGGGAACGGCCATGGGTGGGGGGACAGAGGGGGCGGGAACGGCCATGGGTGGGGGGACAGAGGGGGCGGGAACGGCCTTGGGTGGGGGGGAGAGGGGGCGGGAACGGCATCGGTGGGGGGACAGAGGGGGCAGGAATGGCCATGTGGAGAGGAACAGAAGAAGCAGGAATGACCATGGGGGGACACAGGGGACGGGGGCAGGAATGACCATGGGGCGACAGAGGGGGCGCGAATGGCCATGAGGGGACAGAGGGAGAGGGAACGGCGTTGGAGGACAGAGGGGGTGGGAACGGCCATGGGGGACAGAGGGAGAGGGAACGGTGTTGGAGGACAGAGGGGGTGGGAACGGCCATGGGGGACAGAGGGAGGGGGAACAGCCATGGGGGGAACAGAGGGGGCGGGAATGGCCATGGGGGGACAGAGGGAGAGGGACCGGCGTTGGAGGACAGAGGGGGTGGGAACGGCCATGGGGGACAGAGGGAGCAGGAATGGTCATGGGGGGACAGAGGGAGGGGGAACAGCCATGGGGGGGAACAGAGGGGGCGGGAACGGCCTTGGATGGGAAGACAGACTTGAGCACAGACATCAGTGGTGCTGACCCCTCCCCCTGTGTAGTTGGTCCCGTGGCTCCTGGTCACTGGCCTGTCCCCTGGGCAGCAGAGGGCTCTGACCTGCGTGTGTGGACATGGCGGGAAGGCGAAGGCCTGCACACCTGCCCAGGCTTGCTCCGTGGTTCTGGAAGGACACTGGGCCCTGAGAACACGGCTACAGGCCCTCGAGGTGATGGGGCGCAGGGTGAAGAGGCGGCTTGCGAGCCAGGGATGAGGGGGCTTATGGGGGTGGTACCAACCCTTCTCTGGGCTTTGCTCTCACCTCTCCCCTCCCTGCAGCAGTCCGGGGTCCAGGCATACGGACCCCCACCTCTGAGGTGGCTTGGCTGCTTAGGGCAGGGCCTCCAGGCCCCCTGGCATCCACTGGGGCAGAGCAGGTACGACAGCAGACCCTGAAGATGGGGACTCTACCGTGTGCGGTGTGTCCCCCAGGGTAGTTAGGGAAGAGGGTCCAAGGGTGGCTTGTGTTGGGTGGAGTGCCCTCTGATGCTGGTCCTGACTGCCCTGGCCCAGGGCAGCTTCGGGTGGTCAGGGCCGATGCAGTTGTGGCAGAGCCCAAGGGCCTGGATGGCCATGGCCATGAACTGGACCGTGGCAGAGCCCAAGGGTCTTGGCGGCTATGGCCATGAAGTGGACTTCAGCAAGTTGTGGGCCAGGGTGGCTGTGAGGTGGACCGTGGCGGAGTCCATGTGGCAAGTCCACAGCGTTCTACAGGTTGCAGGTGTTCACAACGCAGGGACAGGTCACACTTGGCTGGCACCCACACCCCAGGACAGCTCCTGGTGGTCAGCGAGCTGACCCGCGTCTCGCCTGAGCCTCCGCACCCCCTTTAGCACCAGCAGAGGCCTCCAGATGTGGCTCAGTGTCAGGCCCCAGGGCTCTCCCAGCCGGGATGCTGAAGATCCTCCACACAGGCCCTGTCCCCTTGGTCCCCCCACTCACTCATGCTTCTGGCTCAGCAACTGGCTCCACACCTCCACCACAAAGCCATCGAAGTGCTGACCCTGAAAGACAGGAGCAGTGCACGGGGTGTCCGGGTCCCCGAGGGCCAGATGAGGAGAGGGGGCACAGCCGTGGCAGGGTTACTCATGCAGTGCACCGAGACCTCTCTGGTGGATGCGGCCCGGGGGCCACCCAGGAGCCAGGGGCCAGGGCACTTGCTCCCTCAGCCCAGCAGTGTGGGGACCCCAGGAGGTTTGGTATAAGGGACAATCCATGGCTCACTTCCACACAATGGGAGACAAGCCTGGCCCCCTGTGAGGCCCCTGGCCCTCCCACCCGAGACTTCCTTTCCTCCCAGGAGCCCTCCTCTCCCACAGGGAGCCCCCTCTGCCCCGCAGAGCCTCCTGGCCCCGGCTCACCTTGGCCACCTGGACCACAGTCTTACTGAGCTCCTCCACCTCGTCCTCACTGTCCAGGACACTGCGGAAGTCGTCCAAAGTCCAGTCTTCAAACAGCAGCCGCGGCACTGCGTGACACAGGCGGCCGGGGTCCGGAAATGCCCAGCGGCCCCTTGGACAGGACGCCCCCAAAAGGGCATCTCACAGGCAGCCCAGGGTGGGGAAAGCCACCTGAGGTGGTCATACGGCCCAAAAGAGCGAGGGTCAGTGAGTGCCCAGCACCCACACCCGCTTCCCTGGGGGCGTGACCCCAGGGTCGGCACCTTGCCTGCCAGCTCCTGGCTGCTGGATGTCCACAGGGCGCTCCACCTCTGACACAGCAGCGGTGCTGCCCCCAGCCGCGAGGCCACCCTGTGCCCACCAGCACCCCAGCCTGGGCCCCACAGGGTACCAGCTCAGTCCTGTCACCTCCTCCTCCACCCCCAACCCGCCTGGGACACTTGTCCTTGCCTATCAGCCTGGAGCTAAGGGGACAGGTGGGCAAGGGCCAGTGTCACCCTCAGGGACTGGTCCGGGGTACAGAAGGGAAGATCGGGCAAGGACAATGCTAGCAAGGCCGCTGGGGAAGGAGTGCTGGTCTGGCTGGCCTGTGGGCTGCAAAGGGGGCCGAGACCAGTAACATCAGCCCGCTAAACTCACCGATGCGCAGGTTCTTGGCGTGCTTCCGCACAGCTCGCATCCACCCTGCAGACATGAGGGGATGGCCAGCACCGGTCAGTGTCCCACCAGGGGACCCAACCACATCTGCCAGCCCCAGGTGCACAGTACAGGAATCGGGAGGAGCTGGGTCCTGAGACCTGCTTCCCTGCCAGGGCCAGCACTGCACCTTCCTTCCCCTCCCCTCCAGGAGCTGAGTGGGAAGTGGGGCAGCCAGGACTCGAACTGGGGCCCAACAGGATGCTGGCACAAGTGGTGTCTTTACCCTTGACCTGGGGTGCCCTGCCCATGCCCTAGTCGCCCACAATTCTCACTGCCCTCCTGGTCTCTGATCTCCAAACCTGATCTCACCTCCCCTACACGTGGGGCTAAGCTGCCCTCAGGGGCTCCGTTGGACAGGAAGTGGTGTCAGGTCTGCAGCCCCTGCTGGTCCACCGCCCCTAGGATACCAGGTGGATCCCAGCAAGGGTCAGAGTAGAGCCCAAGCCCGTGCCCTCCACTGGCCTGTACACACTCACGTGGCCTGGGGGACTCACAGCCACGCGGGCCACGAGGGCAGCCTGCACACACTCACGTGGCCTGGGGGGAAGCTGACAGCCACACAGGTCATGAGGACAGGGCCAGGGCCATCTGGAGGCAGCTAAGGCCTGCCAAGGCTCTTACATCAGTGCTGCGGCCCCTATACCTGGCACTCTCACACACGCCCTGGGGCACACACACGGGAAAGGGGGGCAGAAACCTTGGTCCACGTCGTGCAGGCCCGTGACCTCAAACATCTCGCGGCCACGTCTCTTGAGCTGCAGCCAGACTGGTGAGATCTGCGTAAACTTGCTCCCGAAGACCTTGGCGATTTCGTAGCCATGGCTGTTCCACTGGCCGGGACGGGAGGTGGCAGGCAGTGAGCAGGTGCCCCTGGCTGCCCCAGCCACGCCGCGGGCCCACGTCCACTCTCTCTTGCTCAGGACACGGCTGGGAACCATGGCCACGACGTCCCCCCACCCTGGCAGTACTGCTCACCGGGGTGACGTAGCCCAGGACCTCCCCAGCAAAGTGTCTCTCCCGGGCCTGGGCCGCACAGTAGCTGCGATGCTCCAGCACCACGTCCTCGGCGCTGGGATCTGTCACCACCAGCCCTCGCTCCTGGACAGGCCTCTCGGACAAGTGTGTCTGGAAGCAGAGCAGACGGGGCGAGCTGCTGCTGTAGGCCCTTGGCCACGGCAGCCCTGAGTCCTGGCCCTGCAGCCAGGGATGGTGCCCGGGACCAGAGACTGGCCAGAGGGGCAGCGCACGGCCAGCCGTCACCAGGGGGTCCCTCCAAGCCACCATGGCTGCACAGATGCCAACACGCCAGGTAAGGCACATGAGCCTGCCTGCCCCCTCCACATGGGTCCTTGGCCCCCGGATCTTCTTGTTTCTTTGTTTTAAAGCTTATTTACTTATTTGAAAGACAGAAAGAGACAGAAAAATGGAAAAAGATCTTGCATCTGCTGGTCCCCACCTGGGCCTCACATGGGCAGTGGAGACTCGGGGACATGGGTCATCCCTGGCTGCCTTCCTGAGCACGCTGGCTGGCCGTGGGTCACAAGCACAGCCGGAACTCCATCCAATGCCCTGACATAGGTGCTCACCATGGTGGTCTAGCCCGCCGTGCCCCATCTGACATGGATGTAGGTGCACACCATGGTGGTCTAGCCTGCCGTGCCCCATCTGACATGGGGCCTAGGTACCCACCATGGTGGTTTAGCCAGCCATGCCCCAGCTCTGACATGGGGCCTAGGTACCCACCACAGTGGTCTAGTCCACCGTGCCCCAGCTCTTACATGGGGCCTAGGTACCCACCATGGTGGTTTAGCCAGCCATGCCCCAGCTCTGACATGGGGCATAGGTGCACACCATGGTGATCTAGCCTGCTGTGCCCCAGCTCCGACAGGAGGGCACAGACACCAGCCCCTCGACGTGGCTGCTCTGTCCATGCTCCCAGGTTCACTTGGCCTCCCCTTGATGTGGCTTCTAACTTGACTGCCGGTCAGGTGCCCCAGTGTGGACGGGAGGGAACGGCCGGCAGATGGGGACAGAGAGCTGGAGAGTGCGGGGCACCCACCCTGGAACGCACGATCCCTGGGACTCTTCCAGGAGAGCACACGGGCCGCGTGACCCGCACAGCTGCCGGCTGAGAACATGACGGCAGCGGGGCTGGGGCGCAGGTGCTGGAAGGAGGAGGGGAAGAACGGGACGCTGTCACGGGGGTGAGCCTGCTCACTCGAGGCCCCGCGCCGGGCAGGAAGGAGAGGGGCGTGGGTGGGGTGCGGTCGGACACCCCACCTTCTCACTCAGTGTCTTCTGGGCAGCCTTCTTGGCATCTGACTTGGACAGGGTAGCGTGCACACAGGAGCAGGCCAGAGCAAGCCAGAGCAGTTGCAGGGGCAGCCACATGGTGGGCTTTTCCAAGTTCCGCCTCAGGCCTCAGGGGGCTGTGGAGAGAACAGAGGACATGAGCCTGGCAGCAGGCAGCCCTGGCTGGGGCAGAGCACCCCAACACGGCTCCCCACAGTCCTCCCATGAATGCCCATGGCTGCTCTGACCACCAGTGACTTCATGGGAAACCATGGAACCCCACTTCATCCCCACTTGGGTCACAGTAGGGCTTCAGTGTGAAGCGATGGAATCATGGACAGTTCTGGATAGGGACACCGAAAACACAAAAATAAAAGGGTCAGTAAGCTGGTTCAATTGGCTAATCCTCTACCTGCAGCGCTGGGATCCCATATGGGCACCAGTTCTAATCCTGGCAGCTCTATTGCCCATCCAGCTCCCTGCTTGTGGCCTGGGAAGGCAGTCCAGGACGGCCCAAAGCCTTGGGACACTGCACCCACGTGGGAGACCTGGAAGAGTCCCTGGCACCTAGCTTCAGATTGGCTCAGCTCTGGATGCTGTGGCCATTTTGGGAGTGAGCCAGCAGATAGATCTTTTTGTAACTCTGCAATAAAAGTGAATAAATCTTTAAAAAAAGGAGGAGGAAGAACTTTTGTCTGATAGTCCACTCCCCCAAGTGAACTGCCTGAACTTAGCTGATCCGAAGCCAGGAGCTTCCTCCAGGTCTCCCACGCGGGTGCAGGGTCCCAAGGCTTTGGGCCGTCCTCGACTGCTTTCCCAGGCCACAAGCAGGGAGCTGGGTGGGAAGTGGAGCTACTGGGATTAGAACTGGCGCCCATGTGGGATCCTGGCTCTTCAAGGCAAGGACTTTAGCCGCTGGCCACCTCACCAGTGGGCAGCTGTGACACCCGCAGACACATGTGGGGAGCCGTGGCAAGAAGTGACCTTGGAGAGGCAGCTGCCAACTCCAAACCCCTGGCCTGCAGATTCCCTCAGGTGGGAAGGAAACCCTGGGGTACAGTGTAAAGCTGTGACTGTGGGGGCCCCACGGCAGTCCCCGAGGATTGGCACACTTGGCATCGGGCCCCCTTGTGCCTCTCTTCCGCCCAGCCTGTCACAACGGGCAACAAGGAGCCTGGAGTACAGAAAGGGCATAGAGCAGCTGCCATAGAACTAGTCCCCAGGGAGCCAGCTCAGGGACCGAGTGCCAGGTCAGCAGGCGTGTGAGGGGTGGCATGTGCTGTCAGGCACCAATAGCTGTCCGGTGGTTCCACATGGCCGCCAGGGGAAGCCGGGGTGGACCCCACGGGCACAGTGCCCACTGTCCCCCTAGGGAGGTCACACAGCTAGCTCCAGGTACCCACAAGCACTGGGCACCCAAGACACACCATGCACACTTCAGCGTTCACACAGTGTGCACCTGACCGCTCACACACAGTGTGCACCTCACTGCTCACTCACAGTGTGCACCTCACTGCTCACTCACAGTGTGCACCTCACTGCTCACATACAGTGTGCACCTGACCGCTCACTCACAGTGTGCACCTCACTGCTCACACAGTGTGCACCTCACTGCTCACACACAGTGTACACCTCACTGCTCACACACAGTGTACACCTCACTGCTCACACACAGTGTACACCTCACTGATCACACATAGTGTACACCTCACTGATCACAGTGTGCACCTGACTGCTCACACAGTGTACACCTCACTGCTCACTCACAGTGTGCACCTCACTGCTCACACAGTGTGCACCTCACTGCTCACATACAGTGTACACCTCACTGCTCACACACAGTGTACACCTCACTGCTCACACAGTGTGCACCTCACTGCTCACACACAGTGTACACCTCACTGCTCACACACAGTGTGCACCTCACTGCTCACACAGTGTACACCTCACTGCTCACACACAGTGTGCACCTCACTGCTCACACACAGTGTGCACCTGACCGCTCACTCACAGTGTGCACCTCACTGCTCACAGTGTGCACCTCACTGCTCACACACAGTGTACACCTCACTGCTCACACACAGTGTGCACCTCACTGCTCACACACAGTGTGCACCTCACTGCTCACACAGTGTACACCTCACTGATCACAGTGTATACCTCACTGCTCACACAGTGTGCACCTCACTGCTCACACACAGTGTGCACCTCACTGCTCACACAGTGTACACCTCACTGATCACAGTGTGTACCTCACTGCTCACACACAGTGTGCACCTCACTGCTCACACAGTGTGCACCTCACTGCTCACACACAGTGTGCACCTCACTGCTCACACAGTGTACACCTCACTGCTCACAGTGTGCACCTCACTGCTCACACAGTGTGCACCTCACTGATCACACACAGTGTACACCTCACTGCTCACACAGTGTGCACCTCACTGCTCACACACAGTGTGCACCTCACTGCTCACACACAGTGTACACCTCACTGCTCACACACAGTGTGCACCTGACCGCTCACTCACAGTGTGCACCTCACTGCTCACACAGTGTGCACCTCACTGCTCACACACAGTATGCACCTCACTGCTCACACAGTGTGCACCTCATTGCTCACAGTGTGCACCTCACTGCTCACACACAGTGTACACCGCACTGCTCACACACAGTGTGCACCTGACTGCTCACACAGTGTACAACTCACTGCTCACACACAGTGTGCACCTCACTGATCACAGTGTACACCTCACTGCTCACACAGTGTGCACCTCACTGCTCACACACAGTGTGCACCTCACTGATCACAGTGTGCACCTCACTGCTCACACACAGTGTACACCTCACTGCTCACATACAGTGTGCACCTCACTGCTCACACACAGTGTACACCTCACTGATCACACAGTGTACACCTCACTGCTCACACACAGTGTGCACCTCACTGATCACAGTGTGCACCTCACTGCTCACACACAGTGTGCACCTGACCGCTCACTCACAGTATGCACCTCACTGCTCACAGTGTGCACCTCACTGCTCACACACAGTGTGCACCTCACTGCTCACACACAGTGTACACCTCACTGCTCACACACAGTGTGCACCTGACCGCTCACTCACAGTATGCACCTCACTGCTCAGTGTGCACCTCACTGCTCACATACAGTGTACACCTCACTGCTCACACACAGTGTGCACCTCACTGCTCACAGTGTGCACCTCACTGCTCACACACAGTGTGCACCTCACTGCTCACACACAGTGTGCACCTCACTGCTCACACAGTGTACACCTCACTGCTCACAGTGTGCACCTCACTGCTCACACAGTGTGCACCTCACTGATCACACACAGTGTACACCTCACTGCTCACACAGTGTGCACCTCACTGCTCACACACAGTGTGCACCTCACTGCTCACACACAGTGTACACCTCACTGCTCACACACAGTGTGCACCTGACCGCTCACTCACAGTGTGCACCTCACTGCTCACACAGTGTACACCTCACTGCTCACACACAGTGTGCACCTCACTGCTCACACACAGTATGCACCTCACTGCTCACACAGTGTGCACCTCATTGCTCACACAGTGTGCACCTCACTGCTCACACACAGTGTACACCGCACTGCTCACAGTGTGCACCTGACTGCTCACACAGTGTACACCTCACTGCTCACACACAGTGTGCACCTCACTGATCACAGTGTACACCTCACTGCTCACACAGTGTGCACCTCACTGCTCACACACAGTGTGCACCTCACTGATCACAGTGTGCACCTCACTGCTCACACACAGTGTACACCTCACTGCTCACATACAGTGTGCACCTCACTGCTCACACACAGTGTACACCTCACTGATCACACAGTGTACACCTCACTGCTCACACACAGTGTGCACCTCACTGATCACAGTGTGCACCTCACTGCTCACACACAGTGTGCACCTGACCGCTCACTCACAGTATGCACCTCACTGCTCACAGTGTGCACCTCACTGCTCACACACAGTGTGCACCTCACTGCTCACACACAGTGTACACCTCACTGCTCACACACAGTGTGCACCTGACCGCTCACTCACAGTATGCACCTCACTGCTCACAGTGTGCACCTCACTGCTCACATACAGTGTACACCTCACTGCTCACACACAGTGTGCACCTCACTGCTCACAGTGTGCACCTCACTGCTCACACACAGTGTGCACCTGACCGCTCACTCACAGTGTGCACCTGACTGCTCACACACAGTGTACACCTCACTGCTCACACACAGTGTACACCTGACTGCTCACACACAGTGTGCACCTCACTGTTCACACACAGTGTGCACCTTTGCACACACCTTCCCTCACACGCCCAGCACCATGGCTCTCCACACAGCTCGCAGACACTCACCTTCACACAGCCCTGCTCTCCCTCCCTCAGTTTTCATTCATTCATTCATTCATTCATTCATTCATATTTGCTCTCCCTCCGCCACGGAGAAGCAGTAACACAGTCTCACACACAGAATCTCTCTCCCTCACACGGTCTCTCCCTCCTTCTCCCTCTCACCCACTCCTGTGTCTCCCTCACACGGTCTCCCTCACACGGTCTCTGTCACTCACACTGTCACTCTCCCTCACTCGGTCTCTCTCTCCCTCACACGGTCTCTCTCACACGGTCTCTGTCACTCACACTGTCACTCTCCCTCACACGGTCTCTCTCTCCCTCACACTGTCTCTCTCACCCACTCTTGTCTCTCCCTCACACGGTCTCTCTCTCCCTCAGTCTCTCACACTGTCTCTCACTCACACTGTCTCTCTCCATCATACAGTCTCTCTCTCTCTCCCTCACACGGTCTCTCCATCTCTCTCCCTGTCCCCTCGGCACGGACGCCGACAGCCGCAGGGCCGACGCGGGCCTCACCTTCATGTCCGGGAGGCCGGCCGGAAGTCCCGCCCAGCACGCTCGCGCACTCTCGGGGCGCCACGCCTGCTTCCGCCCGGCCGCGCGCGGGGCACGCCGGGAGTCGGGGCATGCCGTGCGCAGACGCAGGCCGGCCCTGCTCGGGGAGGGAGGGGTTCCCTGCACCCCGAGGATGCGGCTCGCCCTGCCGCTCGTGCGGATGGCGACGGCCGCGACCCGGTCCTTGCACCGCAAGCTGCAGAGGATGGTCGGGCCCCGGGGTGGCTCGGCGTGCCCCACGCCGACCCCGGTCGTCCCACAGGGCAGGGGCGCAGCGGCTCGTCGTTCCCGCCCGTCCTCCCTGACTCAGGCTTCGTCTCTGTCTGGTCACGTTTCCTTCTCTCTCTTCCTCATGCATTCTGCTGCCCAGCATCGCTGGGTGTGCACCGACCACGTGCCTCCAAGGCATCCGAGTCAGCTCAGTGCATCCGGTCAGAGATCTGCAACGGAAAAGTCAGCTCACCGCCCCAGAATCCTTGAAAGCAAGAGACATCCCCGGGGCAGGAGGCTGTCAGCGGCCAGCCTGCCTGGGAGCACAGCGGTGCCAAGAGCCGACCGCTACCCACTGTCGGGATCAGTGCCGTGGCATGGCAGGCAGAGCCTCCACTTGCAGTGCCGGCATGCCATACGAGTGCAGATTTGAGCCCCGGCTGTGCCGCTTCTCGTCCAGCTCCCTGCCTGTGGCCTGGGAACGCAGTGATGGACAGCCCACAGGGACCTTGCACCTGTGCGGGGACCCACAGCAAGCTCCTGGCTTTAGGTTGGCCCGGCCCTGGTCTTGGTGAACCAACAGGTGGAAGTCTGATCCCTGTTGTTTTTTGAAATGTTACGTTTATTTTAACAACAGAGTTACAGAGAGAGATCTGGCATCTGCTGACTCCCTAGGCAGAGCTGTGCGGATCTGAAGCCAGGAGCTTCTGCCAGGACCCCAGACGGGCTTTACGCTTTCCCAGGTGCAGGATGCGAAACTCAAGTTACCTCCAACTGCGACTGGTGGGAGCTCTGAACTTGCATAGGGGACCCTTAAAGGAGTGTGGCAGATGCCATAGCAGCGGGAGAACACAGATTTGAAATCAGACCTTAACAGAAGGCACAGCAAGCACCCTTGGCCACAGACAAGGGCAGCCCTGAACCCCTGGCCCTGGCCCTCCCAGTGAGGGTGGGCTGAGGAGGCCCTGGCTAGGCCGTGGGCCTGGGGCCCACTACCGGGGCTCCTGTGGACACAGAACGGAGGGCAGTCCTGGGGAGTGGGGTGCTAAGAGGAGCCCCCTCCTGCCAGCTGAGGGTCCCCCGCTCCCTGGGCCAGCTGAGGGTCCCCGAGCTGAGACTGTCTCCAGGGAACCCCCAGTTACTGTGGGAAGCCCAGCCTGCGGGCACAGCCCAGGGCACTTGCACCTGTCTCTGCAGGCACCTGGTGGCCATGGCCGTGGGCTTCCGAGGCTGTTAGCGTCCTGCCTGGGCTCTCTGGGACTCCCAGCTCCTCATTTGCCGAGTCAGCACAGGCCAGCTCTTCCCGTCAGCAGCAGCAGCCTTGTGACTGACCTGGGTCACCCGTGGGGCAGGACACAACCACTGCTGCTGAGCGTATCCTGCCTGTTGGCATGGGGCGGCAGGAAGCTCCAGATGAAGGGCACAGCAGACCTCCCAGCTGCACATATCCACCCACCCCCATGCTGGGATCAGCAAAGCTGGGCTGAGAGGATGCAGCGGAAGCTTCTAGACAGTCTGGAGCCAGCACAGCAGACGTGTGCCTCCTGTGTGTGACCCCTGGCCCTGGGGCGGGTGTTGGCCCGTGCTGGGTGCCTCAGCCCTGTACAGGATTGCCTGGTCTGTGTTGTGGGTCGCGTGATGATGCCATCAGCTCAGGATACCAGGAGCCAGGTGGTCTGCCTGGGAGGGGGCTGAGTGTTGAAACGTGTACACGCTCAACAGTTGGTCTGTTCTAGGTCCTGCCTGCAGTGGCCCAGGCAGAGCACAGCTGGCCTGCCCCGGGAGCGGGTGCAGGGTGCCCCCAGCACCTGTGGGTGGGACCTGATATGGACACAGGTGTCTTGAGACAAGGAAGTTGACTTTGGCATGCAGTGCTCCCGGGTGGTCACGGGGCCCCTCAGAGGCGGGGGTCTGAGACAGACACCTGGGCAATGAGTCTGGGCTTGGGGTGCGCGCTATAGACCAGCAGCCCTGGCCACTGCTGGCAGCTGGCCCGACCAGGGCAGGGGACATGCACTTCCACAGGGCCTCCATGAGGGACTGGCCCTGCAGCCAGTCAGCCTCGGGCTTCTGGGACCTGCCACAAAGTGAAAATCTTCTTGTGCTGTCTGGAGTGTGACACTGAGCTAGCGAGAGAGGCTGGTGGTCGCCTCTCAGGTCCTCCAGCCTGCTCCAGGACAGCTTTCAGAGTCACAGCTGCTTCCTCTGTGGGGTGACCCTGCCTGGGAGCAGGCAGCTGCCACCCGCTGCCATAGGACAGGAGTCGCCTGCCGGCCTGGCCTGTCTGGCCTCAGGGCCCACAGCTACCCAGCTCTGGCCACTCTGAGCGATTTGGGGATGAATCAGCAGACAGAAAGTCTGTCCCTGTCTCTGTTCCTGCTTTCCAAACACTTTTGCAAAAAACCAAACTCCTGTGTTACTCCTCTCAACCCAGTACCCCAAACTGTGATCTGGCTCCCGGCTAGAGCTGTGCCACGTGTTAAGTTCAGATAAGGCCGTAGGAGCCCTGACCCTGGGGGGACTGGTGACCGTGGGGTCACCACAGCGGAAGAGGACACATATGTAGCAGGACACCCACCTCTGACAGCCAGGGAGAGGACTCCAGCCAGCGTTGGGAGGAAACCTGATTCTAACACTTCCCTCCCTGCTGTGTTGCCACCTGCCGGTGCTGAGCTGCAAAGGGGTCTGGGAAATGTAGTCTTTTTTCTGAGTGGCAGGAACCCTAAAGTCAGGCTCGGGGGTTATGGGCGGGAGGGGAGCCGGCCTTACACAGTGCTAGGCGTCCTGCCCACCGGGGCCAGGCGGGCGAGCATGTCCACCGTGGGGTGATGCGGTGGTCCCTGTGTACTCCCTGCCTGGGCGTCCTGCCCACATCCCTGCGTGTGCGGGATGCACTTTTGCTGACTGCTGTTCCCTCTACTTCCTCTCCACAACTGCCCAGGCTTGAGGGGCACAACAGTACAAGCTGGACATGCTTTCCCAGCCCTCCTTGCGGCCAGACCTGCCCAGGTCACGGTGGGCAGTCTCAGGCAGCCTCCCGGGAGTAAGGTAGTTCCCAGCTTTCCTCTGTTCCCGCTTTCCACTGCCTGCACATCAGAACAGATGGGCCAGCGTCCATCCAGAGAGTTCCAGAGGGAGGGGACAAGGCGACCTTCACCGTCATAGCATGGTGGCATTAAGAATGTCCCACAGTGGAAGATAAAAAGCTTATCATTTAATTCACTATGCTTAAAGCCCAGAGATCCCATACAGACGCCGGTTCTAATCCTGGCAGCCCCACTTCCCATCCAGCTCCTTGCCTGTGGCCTGGGAAAGCAGTCCAGGATAGCCCAAAGCCTTGGGACCCTGCACCCCCACGTGGGAGACCCGGAAGAGCTGGCTCCTGGCTTCGGACTGGCTCAGCTCCATGCCGGAGTCCAGCTCCAGTGGAGTTCAGAACTCGAGAAGGGTGCGTGGATGAGGCGTAAAGAGGAAAGAAATGGACCACTATGATTTTGTGATCATCATGAACAATACGGGAAAGCTGTCTGCTTTATTTATACAGCACCAGTCAAACTCTGGCTCAGACTTTTTCCATCATGGTCAAGTGGGTGTTTCTAAGGATAATTCTGCCATTTGTTTTACCTAAAAACAATAGAAATTCCTGCTACAATTCTTATTGTACAACTCAATCTTAGGTCATAAAGAAAAGGACAACCTAAAGCTCAAGGAAAGAATGAAAGCCTAAATATAAGTCCTTTGATTAGCATAAGGTCAATGGGGACAGCCAAGACAGTAGGAATAATACAAGGCCCTTTTTGCAAGACGTTATTATTGACATGAACCTCCAAGCTCACATTGAGTAAAAGGCCAGCCTCACAGCAGCAAACAATTCCTGGATGGATTAGAGTTCTTCTGCAGGGTGGTCCAGTGTCCATGCCAAGGAAGGTGGAGCTGCATTCAGGTGGTTTTAGAGACCACTGTAGGGCCCTGCCACACAGCGGGAAGTTCCTTGTGGCTCCGCCTGCAATGGAACAATACTCATCACACCTTCGTGTCCCCCACATCCACTGCACGGACCCCAACAGCTCCAGCCGTTGCAGTCACTTGGGGAGTGAGCCATCGGACGGAAGATCTTCCTCTCTGTCTCTCCTTCTCTCTGTACATCTGATTTTCCAATAAAAATAAATAAAAAAATGTCTATTGAATTGTTTGATAGAGAGACAAAGATCTTCCATCCACTGGTTCACTCCTCAATGGCTGCAACAACTGAGCTATTGCCATCTGAAGCCAGGAGCTCCATCAGAAACAGCAGGAGAGAGAGAGGTCTTCTATCCACTGGTTCACTCCCCAAATGGCCACAACAGCTAGCGCTGTGCCAGACTGAATCCAAGAACCTGGATGTCTCCCTGTGTCTCCCCTACTCCGCATCTCCCAGGTCAGACAGGGTCAGGTGTCGCAGGCAGCAGCTGAGCAGGCCGCTGGAATTGGAGGTGGAGCTGGGTGCCGATGGGCAGTGAACAAACGGGTAAGCACTTAACTGCTGAGCCCTGCTCCCTGCCAGGCGGCCTGGCATCTTCAATGGGTCCAGGGGACTCCAGCTGGCCTTCTCTGTGGATGCTGCAGGGCCACCAGACCCACCCAAGAGCCCAGGAAGACCGTGGGCCTGCTGGAAGGAGGCCTTGAGGGATGACTGGGTGGGCTCAGGCCTGAAGCTGCTGTGTGCCCGTTTGCTACCTCATGGTACCAAGCTTCCCTGAGACACCCAGCTGCAAGACAGCACCCTGCACCCCCTGGGTGCCTGTGGGCAGGGGCTGCTGCCTGGGCCCTTCTCCCAGCACCTGCTGCTTATGTCCCACAGGCTTGGCCCACAGAAAGCCCGCTTCCACTGGTCCTTCCCCATCCCAAGTGTGAGCTCTGGCTGGGGACTTGATGTCCTTGGGTCTCCAGGGGCTGGCTGGGGGCTCTTGGGAAATCAGGGTGGGTTCCCAGCTCACCCCACTGACCCCGTTCTAGTTCTGTGGAATCCCCTCCCCCTCACTGCTTTCCCATAAGACATTGGGGAGGTCATCTTCCTGTACGTTTCGCAATTGTCGGAAGGCAGCTGTGTGCAGCTCGCGGCTGCGGGAAATGAGACCTGCAATTGTGGCTTCTCCCCAACTCGGGGGGGGGGGGAGGATGGGGTCTTGTGGTCCCTCCCCCCCAGCAGTGTTTGAAGCGCGTACCCATCATTCCACCAGCATTCTGGAATATTCCTCAAGGCCTGTGCATGGTCTGTGGTGGGGGCACTCCTAGCTTTCTCTGTAACTCCTGGTCACTGGGCCCAAGGACAGCCACAACCCTGCTCCGACCAAGGCCAGGGGCTCAGGGCTACCCCCAGGCCAGGCTGCCAAGCCAGCTGTCCAGCAGGGCCATCGCGGCTGTCCTGTGACCATGGGGCCGCACAGGAGGCCTGAGCCAATTCCTGTCCGGCAAGGAAGGGTGCGCCTGTGGCACAGCCCTCTCCCTAGGTACCCACTCATGGCCCTCAAGTACCTGTGGGCATGTGGGAAACCTCAGCCCCTCTCTTACCATGGCCAGCAGCGGGTGAGTGATGTGGGACCAACGTCCAGGTCAGGCAACCTCAAAAGCAAAGCTATTTCCCAGTGTAACTGAGGCAAGGGGTGCCCGTGTGGACCCGGATTGAGGCTGGGGTGGCCAGGAGCCTCAGGAAGGCCTGGGCATCCTGGAGGGTGATGGTGCTGTCACCCATGCGGACCCTGAGATAGCAATGCCAGCTCCAGTCTGTCCTGTGAGCAGGGGCAGCCTGCTGGTCCTCCGGCCTGGGGAGCCCACTGACTGCACCCCATCCAGTCCTGATCTGCCTGCCCTCTGGGTCAGGGCACGGTAGATCCGATGGGGGGGGGGGTGCTGCCTGCCTTCCAGGTCGGGGTGTGGCAGGCCTGATGGGGGATCAGGCTGAGAAGCATCCCAGGCCCCCTCCTCCATCAAGAGGGCAGTGTGGGACCCCAGGAAGCTCCCTGACCCCAAGGAGTCCTCTGTGGGCCTGTCCGGGAAGCTGGTGGGCTCAGCTGCCCCCGCCCCCCGGCATTGGGGTTGCTGTGAGGTGCCTGATCATGTCCCTTCCTGCTCCCAGCAGGTTCCAGTGGGTTGGGGCAGGGACAAAGGTCTAGCTGGTGGGGCTGGGCCAGTTCCAGCTTCCTCTTCCAGGCCCAGCAGCAGGGCCATCTGCTCTGCAAACAGACTCCCTGGGGGCCCCTCCCCTCGCTGGCAGCAGAGGCAAGGGGGGCCAGGGCTGGGTGTGTGTGTGTGGGTGTGTGGGTGTGAGTGTAGGGCGGCTACTCCTGCAATCTCCCGGGCTGTGGGGAGGATTTCCTCACTGGAGCCAGGAACTGCTGAGGGTTGGACCCTTGGCCCCCTGGCCCTGACTTCCTCCCGGGGCCGGTTCACCAGGGGCAGGGCTGGGCGCGCACAGTCTGATGTCTGCCGGTCATTGTCCAGGTTAATGTATTTATGAGTCCAGCTAGGAAAAAGGAGGAGAGGCAGGGCATCAAGCCCACATCCAGGGTCAGTCCTGAGTCTCCCCGTAAACCTCCCTTTGCGCTCGCTGTCTGCAGCAGCAACAGCATCGGACCCCGGCCCGCCCCACAGCGGTTGCCGGTGCGGGGACGCGAACCCGCGGTCACAACCTCCACGGCGGCCCCGGCCGCCCTCGACGTGCTCGTGCTCGCGCCGCCGTGCGCGCTCGCGCGGGCGTCGTGCGTGTGCGTGCGCGTGCGCGGCGGCCCGGCCCGCGGCGCTCGGGCCTGAGGCGGCTGCTGCTTGGCGGCGGGGACGGCTCCTCCGCCCGGGGCCCCAAGATGCCGGCCGTGTCCAAGGGGGACGGGATGCGGGGCCTGGCGGTCTTCATCTCTGACATCCGCAACTGTGAGTGCCGGGGGCGCGGGCGGCCGGGGGCGCGGGGTGTGGAGGTCGGGGGCTCGGGAGGCCGGGGGCCCGGGGCGCGGGATGCGGGGTGCAGGGTGCAGGGCCCGGGGTGCGGGGCGCGGGGTGCGCCGTGCGGGGCAGGGGGTGCAGGGTGCAGGGCCTGGAGTGCGTGACGCGGAGTGCGTGGCGCGGGGTGCAGGGCCCGGGGTGCGTGGCACGGGGCGCGGGGTGCAGGGCGTGGTGTGTGGGGTATGGGGCGCAGGTGGCCATGGGCGCAGGGTGCGGGGCAGGGGGTGCCGGCGGCCCGGGGCGCAGGCTGCAGGCGGGGCGGAACTGTGGGGGCGCGGGGCGTGCGGGGCGCGGCTCGGCAGTGCTGTGCGGTCCAAGCGCCCCTCCCCAGCATGATGTCATCTGCCTCCAGCTGGGCGGCTTTTAACCAAAGTGCGCGGATGGTGGCTGTGGGAGGGGGCGCCGGCTCACCCATTGGGATCCCTGGGACTCGTGCCCCTCCCCCCGGGAGTCGCTCCACAGGCGGGTGGCTGGCACGGCCTCCCACCCCCAGCTGGTCCCCTTGGCGCGGGAAAAAGCCTCACCTCGCAGAGGGAGACGGACCCAGCGGGCTTGGCCTGGACAGTGGGCTGCAGGGTGGACTGGGAGCCAGCTGCAGAGTGGACGGCGTGGAGTGGGCTGTAGGGTGCACGCCTGGGGAGCAGGCTGCGGGGTGGACCGGGAGTGAGCTGTAGGGTGGATGGCCTGGGAATACATTACTGGGTGGATGGAGAGCAGGTTGTGGGGTGGGCAGTGTGGAGAGTGGGGTGGACGGTCCAGGGAGCAGGCTGTGGGGTGGACCGGTAGTGGGCTGCAGGGTAGACAGCATGGAGAACAGGCTGTGGGGTGGATGGGGAGTGGGCTGTACAGTGGATGGCCTGGGGAATGGGCTGCAGGGTGGACGGTGTGGTGAGCCGGCTGCAGGGTGGATGGGGAACGGGCTGTGGAGTGGACGGCCTGGGGAGCCACCTGTTGGGTGGACGGTCCAGGGAGCAGGCTGTGAGGTGGACAGTCCGGGGAGCGGGCTGCTGGCTGGACGGTTTGGAGAGCGGGCTGTGGGGTGGACGGCCAAGGGTGCAGGGCCAGTTCCAGCTTCCTCTTCGGCCAGCAGCAGGGCCATCTGCAGGGTGGGACAGCCTAGACAGCGAGCTGCAGGGTGGACGGCCCGGGGATCCGGCCGACGGGTGTGGAGAGCTGGCTGCAGGGTGGATGCCCTGGGCTGGGCACCTGAGCCCCCACAGTCCACCCTCCTTACTGAACTGAGGAAAACAAGTGATTTCCCCTGGGGATGCCCCTCCTTTTCCGGCTAGTGGGGCTGGAGTCCACTCAGTGGTTCCCTGTGGCCTCTGGGTGAATGCCTGCCTGGTGGGCCCCCTTGGTGTCCCTGGAAGAACCCCCAAGTCGGCCCGACTCTGCAGAAAATCGGGTTCCCGAGGCACCTGCGTGCAGGCAGGCTTCTCCCCTTCTCTCACCTTTGGGGGCCGTGTTGTGACCAGGACTGCACCGGGCAGGGTGCTGAGGGCAGCTGGTCATCCTCCAGCATGCGGTATGTTACAGGTTTGCAGGGTGGGTCACCAGTGCTGAGGGGACCTTCCGTCGTGTGCCTTGCAGGAGGGGGCTGATGCCTGTGGAGGTCCAGTGCTGTCCCCATGGGTGGGCAGCATTGTCTCTGGCTGGGAGCACCGGGCCGGAGGAACCTCAGGCAGCCAGCACTGTGGCCCCTTTCTCGGAGATGTGTCTGATTGGCTGTTGTTTCCCAGTCTCCCTCCGGCCTGTGGGGGGCGCAGTTATCCAATGCGTGATGTGGGGGCCCTATCTGCCTCGCTCCTCCTGCCCCTTCTGGGGGTGGTGTGTACCCCGCTGAACAAAGAAAGCCTTGCTGGGGGCTTCCGGGCTGGCTCTGTCCAAAGTGTTTTGCAGGCTGGGGGTTGGGGCGCGAGGTGTTCTGGGAGGCTCATCTCCTGTACAGCGCGTGGGCCTGCTGATCCGAACCTGACTCCTGTGTGCCCCAGAGCTGGGCTAATGCTGCTCCTAGGCCTGCCACTCAGTCTGCGTTTTGTGTCCCTGGGTGAAGGTGGGTGACGGGAGAGCAGGCATCCTCCGTTTAACTGACAGTGTGGGGGTGGGGAGGGCCAGTTTGGACCTGATGTCTGTGGTGTCCCCCAGGGGGAGGCGGGCAGGAACCGCTGGACCTGCTCACCTGCAGTGCTGGGGGCCTCACTCCTCCCAGGCCCCTCACTCCTCCCAAGCCCCTCCCGCGTTGGAAGGAGCCTTGACTGGGACCACTCAGACTTGCCGCTCCATGGCTCAGGTAGCTGATGGACTTAGCATGCTATGAGGTTGCCATGATCCTTCCTGAGTCGCTTCGCCTTGGGGGTGTGAGGGCTGTGGTTAGAAGCAGAGCCTTCCGAGCTCTGGAAATTCTGAACGTTTGTTTAGAAGACTGTGATAGGAGGGAGAGTTCTCTTCTGTCCATGGTTCACTCCCACATGCTTGCACCTGCTGGAGCTGGGCCAGAGGATCCGCCTCCAGGTAGATGAGGGTCAGTGCGTGCAGCTCAGCCCTCCGTGCTGGACTGGACTGGAACCCAGGCCCCAGGGGAGAGGAGCAGGTGTCCCAACCCTTGCAGGAAATGCCTGTCCTCTTCTTCGCTTTCGACAACAGTGGCAGGAAATGGTAGCTTTTGATTCCATCCATTTTTAAAATAATTCCTCATGCTGGAATGATGGTGGACGCAGAGGAGACCGTGGGGAAGGGGACAGGCAGGTGTATGTTCACATGGGCCTCTGTCCTTGTGGGCACTTTCATCATGGTACAAGAATCTGGCCAGTTGAGAATCCATCGTGTCATGCGATCTTGCTCTGTGTGTGACACGTGCTCCTGTGAGTGTGACACGTCTCCAATGAGTAACATGTGACATGTGCACCAATAGGTGTGACACGTCTCCTGTGTGTCATATACTCCTGTGTGACATATACTCCTGTGAGTGTGACACGTGCTCCTGTGAGTGTGACACGTCTCCCGTGAGTGTGACATGTGACATGTGCACCAATAGGTGTGACACGTCTCCTGTGTGTCATATACTCCTGTGTGACATATACTCCTGTGAGTGTGACACGTGCTCCTGTGAGTGTGACACGTGCTCCTGTGTGTGACACGTCTCCTGTGAGTGTGACGCGTGCTCCTGTGTGTGACACGTGCTCCTGTGTGTGACACGTCTCCCGTGAGTGTGACATGTCTCCTGAGTGTGATACGTCTCCTGTGAGTGTGACACGTCTCCTGTGAGTGACACGTGCTCCGGTGAGTGTGACACGTCTCCTGTGAGTGTGACACGTCTCCTGTGAGTGTGACACGTGCTCCTGTGTGTGACATATACTCCTGTGAGTGTGACATATACTCCTGTGAGTGTGACACGTGCTCCTGTGAGTGTGACACGTGCTCCTGTGAGTGTGACATGTCTCCTGTGAGTGACATATACTCCTGTGTGACACGTGCTCCTGTGAGTGTGACACGTGCTCCTGTGAGTGTGACACGTCTCCTGTGTGTGTAACACGTGCTCCTGTGTGTGTCATATACTCCTGTGTGACATATACTCCTGTGTGTGACACATCTCCTGTGAGTGTGACACGTCTCCTGTGAGTGTGACACGTGCTCCTGTGTGTGACATATACTCCTGTGAGTGTGACATATACTCCTGTGAGTGTGACACGTGCTCCTGTGAGTGTGACACGTGCTCCTGTGAGTGTGACACGTCTCCTGTGAGTGACATATACTCCTGTGAGTGTGACATATACTCCTGTGAGTGTGACACGTGCTCCTGTGAGTGTGACACGTGCTCCTGTGAGTGTGACACGTCTCCTGTGTGTGTAACACGTGCTCCTGTGTGTGTCATATACTCCTGTGTGACATATACTCCTGTGTGTGACACATCTCCTGTGAGTGTGACACGTCTCCTGTGAGTGTGACACGTGCTCCTGTGTGTGACATATACTCCTGTGAGTGTGACATATACTCCTGTGAGTGTGACACGTGCTCCTGTGAGTGTGACACGTGCTCCTGTGAGTGTGACACGTCTCCTGTGAGTGACATATACTCCTGTGAGTGTGACATATACTCCTGTGAGTGTGACACGTGCTCCTGTGAGTGTGACACGTGCTCCTGTGAGTGTGACACGTCTCCTGTGTGTGTAACACGTGCTCCTGTGTGTGTCATATACTCCTGTGTGACATATACTCCTGTGTGTGACACATCTCCTGTGAGTGTGACACGTCTCCTGTGAGTGTGACACGTGCTCCTGTGTGTGACACGTCTTCTGTGAGTGACACGTCTCCTGTGTGTGACACATCTCCTGTGAGTGTGACACGTCTCCTGTGAGTGTGACGCGTGCTCCTGTGTGTGACATATACTCCTGTGAGTGTGACATATACTCCTGTGAGTGTGACACGTGCTCCTGTGAGTGTGACACGTGCTCCTGTGAGTGTGACACGTCTCCTGTGTGTGTAACACGTGCTCCTGTGTGTGTCATATACTCCTGTGTGACATATACTCCTGTGTGTGACACATCTCCCGTGAGTGTGACACGTCTCCTGTGAGTGTGACACGTGCTCCTGTGTGTGACACGTCTTCTGTGAGTGACACGTCTCCTGTGTGTGACACATCTCCTGTGAGTGTGACACGTCTCCTGTGAGTGTGACGCGTGCTCCTGTGTGTGACACGTCTTCTGTGTATGACATGTCTCCTGTGAGTGACACGTCTCCTGTGAGTGTGACATATACTCCTGTGAGTGTGACACATGCTCCTATCAGTGTGACACATGCTCCTATGAGTGTGACACGTCTCCTGTGAGTGTGACACGTCTCCTGTGTGTGTAACACGTGCTCCTGTGTGTGACACGTGCTCCTGTGTGACATATACTCCTGTGTGTGACACGTCTCCTGTGAGTGTGACACGTG